ATATCCACAAGCTTCCTAAGGGTCTACAGATCCCACATTGACACTGACTTGGGCAGTGACAGAGCCCAGAGCAAACAGGGCCAGCCCAAATCCAGTGACCTCCTCTTCACCTTCTTAGAAGAGACAGGAGAATCACTTGAACCCGGGAGGTGGAGGTTGTGGGGAGCCAAGATCGCGCCATTGTACTCCAGCCTGGGCAACAAGAGGGAGCCTCCACCTCAAAAACAAACAAACAGAAAAGTCTGCCATATGTATGGCACATCTGAGCAATGAACTCTCTATGAGTCTGTAGGAGAGCTGGATCTTACTAACCTAGCCAAGTTGTATGCAGCACCAACCATGAGCTACCAGGGCAAAGGGAGACATGACTCTAGTAACCTTGCACCTCTACTGGGCTTACTTAGGGTGGGGGATTTCAGGTCTAACCCATGCCCGGCCGGCCTGGTGGGTGTGTTCTCCATTGCAGAAGCCAAGCGGCCAGTCAACCTCTGCAAACCCAGCCCATGCATGAATGAGGGCAGCTGCGTCCTGCAGAACGGGAGCTACCGCTGCGAGTGCCGGGATGGCTGGGAGGGCCCCCACTGTGAGAACCGTGAGTGGAACTCTTGCTCTGCATGTGTCAGCCAGGGATGGTATTGCAAGTCCTGCCAAGTCCCACAAACTCAGCTGAAGGCAGGTTCTAAAACATTCGTTCAGTGGAAGGAATTATTCAATCATTTCCCCACAAAACATTTAGTGAATACCTCATGCGTCCCAGGCATTGTTCTAAGTGCGGGAACATAGCAGTAAACAAATAAAACCTCTGCCCTCATGGAGCTTCCATTCTAATGGGGAGGCAGACAATAAGCAAATTAAGTATAATACAACATGTGGTGTGTTAGACGGTGCCCAGCACCCTAGAGAAAGTCATGACAACTAGGAGGGAGGCCACAGTTAGGAGCACAGTGGATCCAGGGTACAGGAGGGCAGACAGAGGCAGGGATGGGTAAATGCAGTGGTGGGAGCTGCTGGAAGCTCTTTTTGGGGTGCTTTCTATTTGCTCAGTAAAATGGGAAGAACAGCTAAGTGAGGATGAGGAGGAGGTGCCAGAGGTTTGAGAGAAAAGAAATGACTATCAAGAGAAGGGTAACAGATTAGGGCCTAGAGAGATTGTTGGGAGGCATTAGAGGTCCGCTTATGGCTCCTGTTCATGAGTTTGAAGTAAGAACAGCCAGAAATCAGAAGACAAGTCCAGTCGGAGCCTTGGTTTTTTGGCCATGGGCAGAGTTTGGCTTCCTTAGGCCAGAGAGAAGCTCTGGAGGACAATCTGATGGGGTCTCTGATCTGGCATCTTCTGCTGGGGGCGAGGTGGGTTGTAGAGTAGGATCAGGACCTGAAGGGGTCCTCAGAGGCTGCTGGAGGGCTGAGAAGGGGATGCAGACACTCCTGTCCTCAGAGTTCACCTCCTTCCCCAGGATTCTTGAGAGGAGACGCCCCTGAGGCACGTGGCTCCCATGCAGGAGGGCAGCAGCCGTACCCCTCCCAGCAACTACAGAGAAGGCCTGGGCACTGAAATGGTGCCTGCCTTCTGGAACATCTGTGCCCTGGGGGTCCTTAGAATGTCTGCTTCCCGCTGTGGCCAGGACCACTATTCTCAGTGAGGGAGGAGGATGTCCCAACTGTAGCCATGCTGCTTAGAGACAAGAAAGCAGCTGATGTCACCCAGAAATGATGTTGTTGAAAACTTTTGATGTGTAAGTAAATACCGACTTTCTGTATCTGCTGTGCCTTGTTGAGGCTATGACATCTGCCACCTTTTCCTTGAGGATAAACAAGGGGTCCAGAAGCCTTAAATTTAGTGGCCTGACATTCCTTTGCCCACAATCAATGCTAGCTAGAATGTTGTTGACACAGTAATGCCCAGCAGAGGCCTTTACTAGAGCATCCTTTGGACAGTGAAGGCCACAGCCTTTCAAAATGGAAAGCAGCGGCTTTTCCGCTTCCCCATAGACATCCTGGATGCATTTGCATTGAGTCTGAAAGGGGGCTTGAGGGACATTTTTGACTTCTGGTGACTGCCTTTTGTGTGTGGAAGAGACTTGGAAAGGTCCCAGACTGAAATGTGACCAATTAACCAGCTTGTTTGATGATGGGGGAGGAGCTGAGTGTGCAATTGGCCCAGGTCTGGAGGTGAAATTGTTCTGAGTAGTGAACAGTGTCCACTTGAAAGGTCTTCCTTTAAAAGAGGTTACGGCCAGAGGCTGTGGCTCACGCTTGTAATCCCAACACTTTGGGAGGCCGAGGCAGGCGGATCACCTGAGGTCAGGAGTTTGAGACCAGCCTGGCCAACATGGTGAAACCTCGTCTTTACTAAAAATTCAAAAAGTAGCCGGGCGTGGTGGCAGATGCCTATAATCCCAGCGACTCGGGAGGCTGAGGCAGGAGAATGGCTTGAACCCGGGAGGCGGAAGTTGCAGTGAGCCGACATCACACCACTGCACTCCAGCCTGGGCAACAAGAGTGAAAATCTGTCAAAAAGAAAAAAATTTACTTAGGAGGGGTTGTGGTGTGTTTATGGAATTATTTCCTTATTCTCCTTTTAGTGGGGCAAAGAGAAGATTCTTAAACTCAAAAATATAGGATAAAGAAACTTAACAGAGATTTTGCTTTCTAAAGCATTGATCTTATGCTGCCTAGGTTTTAGTTTTGTTTTGCTTTACTTTTCTACATAGCTTTTAAAGAAATATTTCAAGAAATGTTGGTTATTTACTAAACAGGGATATTTGTACCTATGCGGCAAAGAGGCATGTTTGGAATATTCTCTGGCAAACTAGATACTTACTTACTATCCCTGCAGTATTTAGGAATTACTTCTTCTCCTTAGTTGTGTTGTTTAGAGTTGGATTTTCAGTAGAAATCTTTCTAGAGCTCTGACGTAACTCCAGACACCTTACATCGTTTTTCTTTTTTTTTGAGACGGAGTTTCGCTCTTGTTGCCCAGGCTGGAGTGCAGTGGCACAATCTCGGCTCACTGGAACCTTTGCCTCCCAGGTTCAAGTGATTCTCATGCCTCAGCCTCTTGAGTAGCTGGGATTACAGGCACATGCCACCATGCCTGGCTAATTTTTGTATTTTTAGTAGAGACAGCATTTCACCATGTTGGCCAGGCTGGTCTCAAACTCCTGACCTCAGGTGATATCCCTGCCTTGGCCTCCTAAAGTGCTGGGATTACAGGGGTGAGCCACCGTGCCCGGCCTGTTTTTCTTTATAAATATTTTAACATAATGTTTTATAGACAAACATTCAAGCATACTTTGGCTTTAAGAACTTCAGGATTTCTGGTGCTAGAAAAGTGCTTGAAGTAGTATCACCATGATTTTAGATATTAAAAAGTCTGGTGTACCAGACATTGAGTCATAATCATCTGTATTCAAGGGATACTATCATTGATAATATTCTGTTGTTATGCTGCCCTTCACAGAAGACAACGTCCAGGGCAGGATCATGTGCTCCCTGGCAGATGCTGATCAGTGATGTCATAGAAATTACATGAATGCATTGTCTTTAAATAGCAGTTTAACCATGTTATAATGTAGGCTTTTTGTCTTGTTCCGGGCTGGTATTTGGGTGCCCTGATTGAATTACTTGGATTTAAACAGCAAACTCTGGGCTCTGGACTTATAAAGACCTTTACCGTTTCTTTGTAGGAGATGGTGTTCCCACCTCTGAAATATTTTTTTCCCCTTTTGTAGTGATGGTGCCACTGAATAGTTCAGCTTTTGTCAGTCCCCCAGGAAAATGCTATCCTTTGGCCTAACTAGCCAAGCCTTCTTTCATTTAAAAGAAATTAGCTTTAATTTTTACCTTTAATTACTTATTCAAGTAAGACAAATATATTTTCCTTGCAAGAATTAAAACATTGCATATAGGCCATAAATTTCCTTATTTTCTCTGAATGATCCTGATTCCAGTCATCCTGTTGAATACCCTAGTTCTAATAATTGACTCTTGCTTTTCTAGAGAAGTATTTCCAAATGATCCTAGTTCTTGTCTCTTCCTTTTAAAGTTGTATACCACGTCTTTTTGCATTGCCTGAGACCTCCAGAATAATGTTTCACGAAGTAGCAGGTATCCATATCTGGTTCTTGACTTTTTCATCATTATAATTGTTTTCTATGGGTTACTTATCAGTTTAAGAATGCTTTATTCCTAGATGAACTAAGAGTGTTTATTATATGTTGATTTTTGGTATGCTTTTTCTTCTTCAAGATAATGTGATAGATTATCCATTTATATATTTTCAGTCATTGAACAACCCTTGATTTTTCTGGATAAATTCTATTTGGTCTTTAAACATCATTCTATAAACCCTGCTGAATTTCATTTGCCAGCATTTTATTTCAGATTCTTTTAATCTGTGTCCAACAATGAGATTTGTTTACTTTTGCAATTTGTTTTGGATTTTTGGTATCAGAGCTATACTAACCTTATAATGGAAAATACATATTTCTCAAACTTTACACAGATATAATTTGAAAACTCTTGTCAGTATCTGTACTTAGGGCCTCCATTTCAGTTCTGCTATTTTATATTGCCTTAGGTTGTCTATTAGTCTTTTTAATGAACCAGATTTTGGTTTTGTCATTTTTTAAATAAACACATTTATGCTGTAAACTTCCTTAATTACTACTTAGGCAACCTTCCCAGTATTGGTATGTTTCTTTTTTCCCAAGAATTCTTTAGGAGTATATTTAACTTGTGGGAGTACTGATTTTTCATTTACTTACATATGATCAATTTCTGCAGATGTTTCCTGTGTCTTTGGTATGTTGTTAACTGTACTACTAAAATTTGCTTTCAGTCTTATCTATGCTCTTTGATTCAAGGAGGCTGAGTTTCCTGCTAGGACCCCATCTTGTAGTTCAGTGTGTAAATAACCAAAACATTTCCTCCCTTGAGAACCCCCCAGGCCCTGCCCCAAGTCATTTCATGAAATGAAATACAAGGAAAACCTCAAATACAATGAACATTTTATTTAAAAAAAAAATCTAACTCACCACTTGGTAAAAGGTCACCAAATGTTTATGAGAGAGGAAATAAGAATAAAAAAAGACCTTTAGTTCTCAGGAACAAGTGTTAGAGAACTGATACACAACCCCCCAGAAATGAGGCAGAGATAATAGATGAAATGTTTCAACCTGTGTTTAAAAAAAAAAAAAAATATCAGGAAAAGACAGGGGCAGCACAAGGAACAGCACTGCCAATTTTAAGAGGGAGACCAGCCTAATGAAAATTCACCACTTTGTTCTTGGAAGGGGAATGGACATCATTAAACAGAACTTAAAATCAGGGACTATTTATATTAAATAACTCTTCCCTTAAAAATGGCCCGACCACAGGAATGAATCTGTAAACACACAGTAATATTTTTCCCTATGGTAAAGAGTCAGTTTAATCTCAAAAGACACTTTTCACTGTTTCTAAATGACAGGATTTGAAGCATTTTTTCCTATATATAATACAGCATCACTTAAAATTTTATTTAAAGACAGTTGATTCAGGCCTGCCTTAGACTGGAAAGAAGTATTTAACTTAGTGGGATCAGTGCTTCAGCTTGGTCCCAAATATTTTCCCCCATTACTGTTTCTGGATGTCAACGCTTTTTAAAATCACTGAAGACTGAGTTGGGCCTGGTAATATTGGAGAGAACTGAAGGCAAGGATGGTTTAATCCCCAACTGCTAAGTATTGGATAAGAGACGATGGCCAGGAGTTTAGGTCTTCTCACTCACCAAAGCCAGGTGACCCATAAGACAGGGCCCTGCTTCCTTGATTCATCTTCCACCAAAGTCTAAACATGAGGTTTTTACTATTTAAAAATCTTAGTAAAGCAATTGATGACAACTTCAAAAAAGAAACACACAACATCCCTAAATACAATGTCTTGTTTACATCCAATATACTTAGGTCTCCAAAGAAGCCTCCTTTTTGTTGTATTATTTCCTTTAGCTCTGAAAAGGGACAGATCCTCCTCTTAGCTGAAGCTTGCCATTCACAGTACCTCAGTCTTTGCTTTTTCTTCTAAACAGACTCACCCTTTTGCAGAGTTTTTGCTTTAACAAAGCAGGATTGTCACCAAGGTCCACATTGACATGAGAGTCTTCAGATGAAGCTTGTTTTCTAACTTGCTCCTTTCTTCTCCCATTCCTAGGGTACCATTCCAATACGAGCACCCACCCCCCACAAAAAAGATAGTTAGTTATCCACTGTAGCAACTTTGATATACATAGAAAAAATGTGAGAAAAACTATTTTAGGCATAGAGGTGACAAACAGGTTTCAAACCCTGTATGTTCATCACTGCTTAGAGTGCCTATTCAGAGGTTTTTGAGACTGTGGCACAACAGCGAGTGCCTGTAAGTGATGTCTCCCACAGCAACAAGGGAGTGGAGGTTCAGATGCTTGCATGGAATTATTGGTTAGCCATTGTTGTGAGCACCTCCAAATATCTCCAGCAAGTAAGCAGGATAGGAATAAAGAACAGAGTTTGCCAAAGGCAGCCCTAGGCATGTTCTTTAGTGTACAAATGAGTAAATGATTAATGATACTTTTTGACTAACCCTCAGGGAGAAACTACATCATAGCATGGATTCCTCATTTACAACTTGCTGAGAATTTTGCCACTAGTTGGGTGGTCAACTTTGGACAATTCAAACCACCTATGTGAGTCTGTTTCTTGAGTTTTAATGGTAGAAGTCCTGTGGAGTAACTGACTTTTTGATTTGAAAACTGTCATAATCTGTCCCTGAGCTGCAGCTGTCCTGCTGGAATCTACCCGTAGCTGTGTGGAGGGTAAGAACTGAAGTATCCCCAAGTTCACAGGGAAGGACACGCGAACCAAGTGCAGGCACCTTTCTGGTTGGTCAGTGCGAAAGACTGAGCCAAAGGCATGGCAAAGCCACTGCCACTCCCTGGTGAGTGCCAAGCCCTTGCTCAGAGCTGCTGCCAAAAGCCACAAAGCACCACCTGGGTCAGAAGATGGGCCCCTATCTTAGTGACATTCCTGCTGGCCCCAAGGGAGACTGGGAGTGACTACTTACCTTGGCTTTCTGGAGGACAGTGCCTTTGCCTGTGACCATGACTGAGAGAGGCCTGTTCTTGAGCGTGGTTGCAGAGTTGACTGGGGTACAGTCTGGGGCAGGGGCAGGTGTGACAGCTTTGGGCTATGGTTACAGGAGGAGAGCAAGGACTGAGTCAAGGGGAGGGAGATGTGACCCACCTGCCCCAACCCATATCTAGGGAGCCCTACAAGCAGCCCAGAGACTGTGGCTCCAGCACTCACGCGGGGGCTCACGTTCTCCAGGTGAGTGGTGTCCACAGTGGTGCCCAGTGTCACAGGCCCCGCCTCAGCCTTCTTCAGGTTGTCCTTCACCTCCATGATGCTGAGCTCCAGGTCCACACGCCTGCTCTCCTCACCCCGGCACTCCTCGTCCATTTCCTTCAGCTTCTGCTCCAGGCTGGCCAGGACTTCCTTGTCTGGAGAGAGAAGTATGCAGGCCTCAGTGAACAGCATCTCGGCCCAGGCCAGGGAGCCCTGCTGGGTGGAGGCAGGATCTACATACCTCACCACCCAAGAAGGACCACAGCTCTGGCCCCAACACTTAGAGCCAGTGGGAGGGGGGGCCTGTGTGCTGGGGCAGCCTGCAGGCCTGCTCTAGTTAGCATTCTGCAAAGGCTAGGAGGCTCTTGGGGAGGAGAGCTCTGGCTTCACTAAAGGGCATGAGTCTGAGGCTTAAGCCCCTTCTTGTAGATTCTCAGAGACTCTTGGTTGTTTTGACAGTGACCCAAAAGGGTGAGGGGCTTTCTTCATGGCCCGTGGAGGTGGGCTGGGCAGCTTGTCCTGCCCTACCGAGTTCCCTCAATCCTCTGACTTCCCTAGGCCTAACAGAGGAGGAGTCCTCAGCCCTGGCTCCTCCTCTTAACCCTGAACCTCTCGGGTTGCTGCTGTCACACCATGAAATGATGCCTAGGGCCTGTATCCTAGAAGCTCACTGCTGGAGGAAAGGATGGTATCACGTATGTACCACATAGAGTTCTGAGCACAGGGCCACTGTTTAAGAAAAATTCATAGATGCTGTTGAAGGACCATCTCTAAAGACAGAAGGAAAAGAAAACGTATACCAATAATGTTTTGAAGATTGGAGTTTAAAAAAATACAGTTCAAGCTGGGTGAGGTGGTTCACACCTGTAATCCCAGTACTTTGGGAGGCTGAGGTGGGCAGATCACTTGAGACCAGGAGTTTGAGACCATCCTGGCCAACATGGTGAAACCACGTCTCTACTAAAAATACAAAAATTAGCTGGGCGTGGTGGCATGTGCCTTTAATCCCAGTTACTCAGGAGGATCGCTTGAACCTGGGAGGCAGAGGTTGCAGTGAGCCAAGATCGTGCCACTACATGCCAGCTTGGGCAACAGAGCGAGACTCTGTCTCAAAAAAAGAAAAAAAGCCAGTGGGTGACTTTGCATTCTCAAGACCTTCCCTCACCAGTCAGCTGAATTTGTCCCCAAACCTGCACTGCTGCTTATGCTTGTTCATGCCCCTCTACAATTTAAATAAACAAAAAGTTACTCCATGAACACTAAGTCAAATACTTTGAAAAGGTTCTATAAGAGGCAGGTTGCAGCTGGTTTACACCTGTAATCCCAGCACTTTGAGAGGCCAAGGCAGGTGTCCCTTGGGCTCAGGAGCTCTAGACCAGCCTGGACAACATTGTGAGACCCCATCTCAATTTTTTTTTAATTTGAAAATTTTAAATGCAGCAGATTGCCAGGAAATAGCTGTCAAATTATATGAGTGTGATTTGGAAGATAATCTAAAAGACTTCTTGGCAAGTGTCTTAAGTTTTTCTTGACTTTAAAGAAATGAAGGCTGATGCATTAACAGGTATAGTTAATGCATGAAGGATGACATGAGACTCCAGTCAGCCAACCAGAGCTCAAAAAATCTGCAGGTCCTCAAAAGATGGGCCAAGGAATATGCATTTAAGTGACAATAAAATACTTATGGCCTATGCATAATCCACAAAACTTACTCCTTTAACTAGCTTTTCACAATGACCTGCTGGTCCTATTGATGTTCTGTCATAGGCTTTCTCTCTATGTCCAGGAGAATGGCCTTTCAGACAGGATTGTGTCTCAAAGAGGACACACAAGGAGCACCCACCTAGGCCAAGGGTTGAAGGGGCCAGGGCCCACTGATTGGGAAGGCAGGTGACAGCTAGATCTTCCGCCAAAAAGTTAAGCCTACAACAGCCCTCTGAGCTGAGGGTCCCTCCCCACTGGGGGTGCCCCTTAGGCCCCTTACCTGTGCATTTCAATAGGGTTTCCTTTAGCTCCCGTTTCTCTTTCCGGAGCTGAGCCAGGTGCCCCCGGATTTCTTCCTTTTTCTTTTCAAGCCTCTCCTTCTCCTCTGTGTACCGCTTCACCTCAGCTTCTGTCCGATTCTTGCCAAGCTTGATCTCTACGGACCCAGAGAGGAAAACCCCAGGTCAGCACAACTGGATCATGAGGGCTGTCCCCAATCTACTGGCTCAGATAGAACCTGGGGCTTTGGCACAAAGCCCTACTAGGCTGGATGCCAGACCTGGACAGGGGCCTCTACCTCTCTGAACTTGTTTCCTAATCTGAAAAGGATGGTGTGTAAAGGATGTCTAAAGGATGGTTAATATGTCAACTTGATTAAAGGATGCAAAGGATTGTTGCTGGGAGTGTCTGTGAGGGTGTTGCCAAAGGAGATTAACATTTGAGTCAGTGGACTGGGAGAGGTAGACCCGCTCTCGGTCTGGGTGGGCACCATCTAATCAGCTGCCAGCGTGGCTAGAATAAAGCAGGCAGAAGAATGTGGAAGGACTTGACTTGCTGAGTCTTCCAGCCTTCATCTTTCTCCTGTGCTGGATGCTTCCTGCCCTCGAGCATCAGACTCCAAGTTCTTCAGCTTTTGGACTCTTGGATTCACACCAGTGGTTTGCCAGGGGCTCTCAGGCCTTTGGCCACACACTGAAGACTGCATTGTCGGCTTCCCTACTTTTGAGGCTTTGGGACTCGGACTGATCCACTACTGGCTTCCTTGCTCCTCAACTTGCAGATGGCCTGTTGTGGGACTTGACTGTGATCGTGTGAGTCAATTCTCCTTTATAAACGCCCTTTCATATGTACATCTGTCCTATTAGTTCTGTCCCCCTAGAGAACCCTGACTAATACAGATGGAATCGGGCTAACTTCCCCAAGCACAAGTACCTGCACTGGTCACGCGCAACCTGTCCTTCACAGGTGGGCTGGCGCCAGGTGGGGTGGCCACCACGGCGTCGGGGCAGCTCGGTGGGAAGGAGATTCTCTGCTGTTCAGTCTGGATTTTGACGGTGGTGATTCTCAGGGAAGGCTCCTCTGGCTCCAAACTCTCCAGCTGCTGTGGGGGAAAGCAGACCTGGCTCAGCGGGCTGAAGGGACGTGGGAAGGTGGTCTGGCTTTCCTGCAGGGGAGGGCCTGTACCTGTTCCCCCAGGTTCTCTGGACACTTTATGCAGGGCTCATCTGGGGTGGGACCTGGGCCTGGGTCTGTAGGGAGGGCCTCAGTTGCATTGTCCAGGTGGGACAATGTCAGGGAGGAGGCCTGGGCCTGGACACTGCTGGGGCCATGCAGAAAGGACTTGATAGGTGTGAGGTCCAGGTACACTCGGTCAGATTCTCTCTCATTTGGGTCATCCGCAACAGGGGTGGCTTCCTCGGTAGGCTCTACCTGCAGAAGAGAGAGAGTCTGGGGCATTCACCATTACCTCCACTCTCTCAGCTGTGGAGGGGGTACCAGCCCTGCCTCACAGCTCTGGTGCCCACCTCACAATGGTCCAAGAGATCTCCCTCCCTCCTGGTGGGGGCCACTGCTTGAGTCCTAGATATGTCACTCAAGGTGGAAGACCCAGACAGAGCACTTAACTTCCCTGAACCTTATTTCCTCATCTGTAAAGAGGTAAAGAGCAGCACCTTCCCATAAGGTGGTTAGGGTTCAAGGAGATCATCTGTGGGAGGTCCTCAGCTCAGCACAGGGTTCAGTGCCCAGCACGTGGAAGCTGCCATCGCTGTGATCATCCCACTCGACAGTCGATTTGGGCCTGGTAAGCCTATTGGTGCCTCCACTCCCAATCCCACCACCACACCCCTAGCCCTGGCCAGAGTGGTTCACCAGTGTTTCATCTAGATAAGTCCCCAAGCCAAGCAGACTGCACAGCCTCCCATATAGGAGACAGCCTTGTTGCACTTAGGTGTCTGCACTAGTGGCCTGGTAGGTGACTCAGAACCCACTCAATCTCAGGGATACTCTAATGATCTCTGGGATTGAGGTTTGCAGGAGGAGGGCTAGAGAGTCCCAGGCGGCTGCCTGGCCAGGTCCTTACCGCAGCTGTGAGCTCCGACAGTTCCACGTCATCATACAGCTCCTCCTGGCGGTCCTGGCTAGGCAGGCCATCGATGTAAGTGTTGGGCTCTGAGAATTTTCTCTGCATCAGTCTGGAAATAGGCGGAGGTGGCATGCATGAAGCACCTGGGGCAGGGTGACAAAAGCACCAGGCTCCAAGGATTCCCAGTGATGAGTGGTTGCCATGAAAGTGGTAGCCACACAAGAGATCTGGGACACCCACCTCCATGGCTCAGAGGGCACCTCCTCCCTCTTTCCCAGTGCCTTCTTCCTGGAATTCTTGGTTCGAGATTTTCCTCCCAGAAAGACAACCTTCCCTTGCCCATACGCCTCATCCTAGGAGGATCCCTTTGCCATCTTCTCCCCGATTCCTCCCTTCTAGGATCTCCTTCCAGCAACCACAACAAAAAACCCCTTCTCATTTCATCTTCACAATACACTTGGGGTGGCGCCCGCCACACCATCCCTGTCTGGTCCATGAGAAAACTGATTCTGTTTCAGTGGCTCGGCCGGCTTCCACGAGACTGGCTCTACCACCCTGACCAAAAAACGCCTCTCCCTCAGCCCGTTTGCTCATCTGGAAACAGAAGCACCACCCCCTGACCTGCTTTTCTCCAGGGTGTGCTGGAGACCCAGTGAGGGATTCACTGGAAGGACAAGTAGGAGGTCAGGAAAAGGGACAGCTCTGCCCGGAGGAGCTGGAAAGTCTAACTGCTGCTGAGGATGCCAAAGCCGCCCCTGGGGCCCGAAGCCTGGCTCGGCTCCTTGCTCTTAGCTCAGCTCCTGGCCGTTGGCCGGGCCTCCCCGAGGGCTGCTCCTTGGCTTCGCATCTTCCTGCTGCTGGGTAGAGAGGGGTGGGACCCTGTGCTCTCTGCTGCCCCCGACTCCGGCTGACCCAGGGCCTGTAGCATGGCCAGGAATAGGAGAGTATACAGAGGAAGGGTCCAAATTACTCACAAGAGGGAGTTTTTGGCCGCACTCACAATACAGGAAACCCTATCGGCATCCACGTAGTCGTAGGTGAACTCTTCTGGGTCTGTCTTGGAGCCTGACTCGGAGAGCAGGAGACCCAGCCAGTGGCCCATTTCCTCGGAAGACTTGGCCTGGAACGAGGCCAAGAGAGACATGAGCAGGGCCAGGCTGTGCTGCCTGGTGCCAGCCCCTACCCACCAGGCCGTGACCGCACCCCTACCCCAGAGCCCACCCACAAAAGCCTCTGTAACAGCCCAGGGCCATGCCCTTCCTGCTCACCAGCCTACCCACCCCCCAATGGCCCCAAATCACATTTCCCGTCAGTGACATCTTGATGCCACCTCAGTAATGCTGGATTTTTGTCCCAAGGGCCATATGAGATTTCTATACATTGTGTTTTTAGGAGGTGAAAACTTACCACCAAGTGATCACCTGTTAGTTTTTAAAATGATTAAAAAATTGTCTTTTAAGTTGACACTTGTATTTTATGAACGATGCATGTCATCACCTTAATCCCATATACAACAAGACTCCCTGGATCCCTAAGAAATAACATTCAAATTTATTTTTGTTCGTGGCTTCAGTAAAGTCGGGACAACTTTTAAATGCCTTACACTAGCTCAGCTGCTAAACTGTGATCAAAATCCCAGTGAATTTGGTATTTTTTTCCCCAGGGGACAATGCATTCTCATCAAATTCATCCATTGGGTACCTCAGTTAAAATGTCAACATTGTTTCTTTAAAATAAGAAAAAACTGCCCATTTAATCAAAGCTATAGGTTTATTTTCATGAGGAAAATCAGCTCCCTTTGGTATAACCCATAACTCCATCACTTTTGCTGCTACATTCTCTTCACCAAAGAGGTCGCGATGAGCAGAATTTGACATTTAGCTGATTTCTTTTTCACAGTTTTTTGTTTTTTTTTTAAAGACAGAATCTCGCTCTGTGGCCCAGGCTAGAGTGCAGTGGCGGGATCTTGGCTCAATGCAGCCTCTGCCTCCCGGCTTCAAGCAATTCTCCTGTGTCAGCCTCCCAAGTAGCTGGGACTACAGGTGCCCCACCACCTCCAGCTAATTTTTGTATTTTTAATAGAGACAGGGTTTCACCATGTTGGCCAGGCTGGTTTCAAACTCCTGACCTCAGGTGATCCACCCGCCGTGGCCTCCCAAAGTGCTGGGGTTACAGGCGTGAGCCATCATGCCCAACCCCCACTCAGTTTCAACTGGATTCTAAATACAGCTTTTCATGGGCCTCCCCTAGTCCAGGCTGCGTCTCTGCCCTGGACAGCTGTGACAGCTTCCTAACAGGTCCCTTCTTGCCCCCTTCCATCCACTCCCACCCCAGTAGCCAGAGGAAGCATCTCAGAACCCCGATCTGAGCTTGCTGCCCTCCCCTGAAAGCCATCAGGGCTCTGTTGCTCCCAGCCCGTCACCCAGCCCACTTCTTTCCAGTCATTGAAGCTCAGCGATCAGTTGGGTGATTTGCTGAATAACATCACACTCCCAAACTAGGACGTAAGTGCCACAAGGACAGGGAGCCCATATTGCTCTTGTCCACCATATTCCTGTGCTGAGGAGATGTTTGTTGATGGGGAACAGCTGAATGGACAAATAAGCTATAAGCTAGACCCTGGGAAGCAATTGAGATGTGGGTCTTTCAGCCACCAGAGGGCAGGATTGGAGCGAAGTTTGAATGAGGACCTCCTCATCAAAGACTAAGTGAAGGAGCATTCACGGGCAAGTGGGTGCTTCCATGCGTGGAAGGGACTCAGTCTCCGCTTGCAGCAGCTTGCAAGGCATTATATCACTTCTTAATTTGGTAAATGTAACATATCAAACAGGATGGGGAGTGAGAGGAATGTAATTGTATCACAAAGTGAATTTTTTCCCCCAGATAAGCTCTAACAGTGTGGTTTTCATGTACTGGGCCTAGAGGCTCTCCCAGCTGGTGACACCCAAACAAAACAGCACCCACTTTGAATCCCCAGCAGCTTTTTTCCAGTAGCTCAGGGAGTTAAAAATACTCCTCCTGCCCCAAGTGCAGGAAGTAGCGCATGGTTCCACTCCTATAATGCAACCACCCTGAGGTCAGAAAAGGAATGGAAATTTTTAAAAATGCAAACAATCTCAGGCAAACGAAAAATAACACGTGGGGACACTGATTCTCCCTTGGTAGGATTACAGTCCCAGAGACTGGCAGCAAACAGCCACCACCGCCACACCCTGGCTGACCCTGCTCCCTGCCCCGCAGGCCGGTGATACCTCAAGCTTGGCCAGCTCCTCGCCCTTGTGGAGGATGCGGAAGGAGTAGAGGTGGTCGGGGCTGGGGTCTGGGACCACCTCGCAACCCACCAGGCTGAGGGGTTGCTGGGCCACCTTGCTCCGGTTCCGGTCCTGGTAGAAGTGCAGGTGATTGTCCCTGACAGAGCACCAGCGAGACTTCCACTGGCTGTTCACCAGCACATTCAGGTAACCTGCAGGAGGAAGTGCAGATGCAGGAGGGGACTGGGCTGCAGGAGGGGACGCAGATGCAGGAGGGCACGCGGATGCAGGAGGGGACGCGGATGCAGGAGGGGACGCGGATGCAGGAGGGCACGCGGATGCAGGAGGGGACGCGGATGCAGGAGGGGACGGAGGGGACGGGGCTGCAGGAGGGGACGCAGATGCAGGAGGGGACGGGGCTGCAGGAGGGGACGCAGATGCAGGAGGGGATGCAGATGCAGGAGGGGACAGGGCTGCAGGAGGGGATGCAGATGCAGGAGGGCACGCGGATGCAGGAGGGGACACAGATGCAGGAGGGAGCGGGGCTGCAGGAGGGTGCGGGGCTGCAGGAGGGAGCGGGGCTGCAGGAGGGAGCGGGGCTGCAGGAGGAGATGCAGATGCAGGAGGGGACGCAGGTGCAGGAGGGGACGCAGGTGCAGGAGGGGATGCAGGTGCAGGAGGGGATGCAGGTGCAGGAGGGGATGCAGATGCAGGAGGGGACGCGGATGCAGGAGGGGACGCGGGTGCAGGAGGGGACGCGGGTGCAGGAGGGGACGCAGGTGCAGGAGGGGACGCAGGTGCAGGAGGGGACGCAGGTGCAGGAGGGGACGCAGGTGCAGGAGGGGATGCAGATGCAGGAGGGGTTGGGGCTGCAGATCCAGGAGGGGACGCAGGTGCAGGAGGGGACGCAGGTGCAGGAGGGCACGCGGATGCAGGAGGGGACACAGGTGCAGGAGGGGACACAGGTGCAGGAGGGCACGCGGATGCAGGAGGGGACGCAGGTGCAGGAGGGGACGCAGGTGCAGGAGGGGACGCAGATGCAGGAGGGGTTGGGGCTGCAGATCCAGGAGGGGACGCGGGCACAGAAGGGGACGTGGGTACAGGAGGGGATGCGGGGACAGGAGGGGATGTGGGGACAGGAGGGCATGGGTGTCCAGGTGTGTCCTGGGCTGGCACCGCCTCTGGGCTTCCTTAGTGTCCCCCCGGAATCTCAGCTTCAGAACCCATCAGACACCTTCCGTGTCCTAAGGGACTGGAAGCTGCCCTGAGCTTTGGCCTGCTGAACCAGGCAATAGGGTGAAAGTGCACAGCTACCTTCCTGCCTGGCCCAGTGCTGGATACACAGTGGGGATCATGCATATTGCCAAGCCATATTAACACAAAGTGGTAGAATTAGAGACCAGGACAGAGATGCCACACACACCCATCACAATCCTCTGGACTGAAGAGAACTTTGGATCATGAGAGGTGGGATCTCAAATGTGTTAAGCAGCCCCAGTCCTGGGAAGGAGAGCAGCTGTGGTTCTCCCAGTCCTCCCCTAGCCACAGGGAGCGTGCTTCACTGCAGAGTAGACATCCAGCAATAACCCAGCCACATCTCTTAAACAGTGACTCATAGGGACCGGGCTCCCAGGCCAAACATCATGCCCCCTGAGGCCACTGCCTGGCACCCTGGCTGGAGAAGCAGGAGAATGCAAAGATACAGCTCTGTCTACTGTCTTCCTAACGACCCCCCCCCCCAGCACCCTGCCAGCCTTAGAACACAAGAAAACTCAGCTGGGACTCAGGAAGGGAACCCAGAGATGGGACAATGGCCTTCAGGCCCCAGGAAGGATGACCTCCAATGTGGGACCAGCTTGGGGTTCAAGATACCAGGCCCACCCCAAGATATTTCCCAGGAAAGGCTTGTCACTCCTCCTAGCCTCAGTTTCCCCAAGTATGAGCGAAGGCCGTAGAGATGACCTCTGTCCCGCACCCATACCCTCTGCACCAGTACAGGGTTCTCATCGTCCCCTTCATGGTCTCGGCTGTTCCCATCTCAGAGTCACTGCTCCTGTCCACAGGTACCATTCCGCTCCTACATGCCCCTCAAGGCTCAGGTCCACAAAGCTATCTCTGACCACAGGGCAAGAAAAGTTCTCTCTGTCCCTGAGTCCCAATAGCTACGAAGATGGCACAGTGCATGCTTATGGGTATAAAATCATCACCTCCCTCAGGCAGGCTGTGAGCTCTCAGTACTGTGCCTGCCATCCTTCTGCTTGGTCCCCTTTTAACACGGTCCCTGCCATACCCTGTAAATATAGATCAAATGAACATCATTTTTAAAAGAATTCTAGGAGGACACCAATCAGTTACCCTTCACTTCCACAAAGGCCCCAACAATGCAGCAAGAGACAGTTGGATCAGGCATAAAGAACTGCCTGCAGTAACAACAGATGGGAACCTGACGGCTGCAGGCTCTCCATCCCTAGAGATGTTTACGAAAGATCTAAAACCCCCTGCCTTCACTGTCCGAGCTCGCCTTCCTGCAGGCTCCAGCCCAGGGAATGAGCCTCTGGTCCCGGAGGTAGCTACAATTCTTACTGGATGTCTCGAGGGACCTCTCCACAGGCTCCAGTGAGGTGGATTTCTTCCTGCCCAGATTCATTAGGTTGCTCAGTTTGAGGCCAGCAGAACATTTCTTCTTGACTGTCAAGATGAGACACAAAGCAATTGGTATTGCACGTGGTCCACCCACGTGTCCATGAGAGATGGAAAAAATAGCAAACCCATTTCCACTCCATCCACCCATCCCTCCCTGCTACATATGCACACACATATGCACACACACACACATCTCCTCAAACCAGGAGCCGCAGGCCAGAGTCAGGTGTCTTTAAAGTCACACATTCAAGAGGGGTACACAGACTTCTTATAGAATATACAACCACTTGAGAATCTTTACAGACTGTACTGGCTCAAAGAGATTTGAAATAGTGTTAGCAAACAAGAAGAGATGGAAGAACATTCTATCCCCAGCATTTCATGAAGCTTAACTTCAATTTGGCTGTGTCTCCCTTTTTCCTGGATCTATTAGCAGTATTTCCAAGTAGTTTATTAATGGGAGGCCATGTTAGAACCAGCTGCTAAAACCCATTAGGGTTGAGCCCGACAGCCCAGTCTCACAGCCTGGGACACCATTCCCCTCCCAATCACATGATGTTACCGTCTTTGGTTTCTGGGACCTCAGGGTGGCCATCCACGGAGCTCCCATACTCTGAAGCTGACAGGTACTTCTCAGCTATATCTGGCTATGGACAAAAGAGACATGAATGGAGATCACTGGCTGGGAACAGTTACCTTGGAGACCACAATTTAAGGGAAAATACTAGATGGCTGTTCGTTGTATGCCAGAGGTTATATGCCTGAGCAAACCCCTGCCGGCCACCTAAACGGCAGAATCCAGGTCGCTGGTAGGACACTGGTCCAACTTCCAAATGGCTGTTCAACCTGATGTGACGGCGACCCTGTAGCCACTGGGCAGGGCAAGCAGGTTGCTCATGGGTGGCATTAGAGTGCGTCCCCGATGGCGTTGGCTGTCAAGCTAGCAACCACTCATACTGAGAGCGTGAAGAAGTCTTTTGAGAGCTGACTGTTCTAGCAACGCGAGCTGGTTCATCTGCACAGGAACAGACCATGTGATCTGAGTCCTGGCCGGAGCATTCTGCTGCCAGGCCGGTGCCCGAGTGACATGAGCCTCTCTGAGCCTCACTCTGCAGGTGTCACATGGGGGTGACATCCCCGTGTGCTCACAGGGCTGTTGGGGACTCAAGATGATCCCTAGAAAAGTGTAGCAGCTGCTGCTGTTAGAACATGAAACCCTCAGAATGTTCCAATCAAGCTGCGTTCAGAGCATCACCGACTCCAGACCTCTAGAAAACAAGCTGACGGCCTCCCAAGCAACAGTACCGGCCTTAGGCAGGGTCCAGGGCCAGCAGTCCCTGGCCAGGGAAGCACTGCATGCTGAATCTTTAGGGACAGCTCTTGATTCTCACCCCAATGTGAAGAAAACCCAAATTCGTTCCAACTTTTGTTTTCTTATCAGTGGCCAAGGAATACATGAGACGATGAAAAATGGCCCCTCCTGAGTCACTCCGGAATCTGGAGGGACTGTGGGCTATTTCTCCATGTGGGATGACCTGTGCCTTCTGGAGAGTAAGTAGCCTCCTTTCTGCTCCAGCCCTCTGTGTGCCTCGTTTTCCCCCCTGCCGGGGTGGGGACCCCAAGAGCAGCCACAGTGACGTTCTGACTGTTCTGTGTGTGTCTACACTTCAGGACACCTACCTGCAGGTACTCAGGGACAGGAAATGTGACCCCACAGGTGACAATCCTTTTGGCCAGAACCTAATTCAACTTCTTCAGCCTTGACCTTTAAGCCCAAAGCTCCCCCAAAGCACCATGCAAATGAGCACTACAGCCCTTTGGTTGCAATCAGCCTTGAGACAGTACCCCAGACCCAGAGGGCCTACTGAGGAATAAGGGGGAAGGAAGTGCCTCATAAAATCAATCTCCCTATTTAAGAATGCAGGCCAAAGTCACTTTTGTTCCAATAAAGCTTCCCCCATCCCCCCACCTGCCCACCCCCAGCACCCACAAGCAAGAAAGTATTTTAGGTCTGTATCCGTTTCCTCCATTTTCCTGCCAAGCTAGAATTGCTGCTCTTTTCCAAGCAGCGTATGTTTCTTTTCCTTTTTTTCTTTTTTTTTGAGATGGAGTCTCCCTCTGTCACCCAGGCTGGAGTACAGTGGCGCTATCTCGGCTCACTGCAACCTCCGCCTCCTGGGTTCAAGCGATTCTCCTGCCTCAGGCTCCCGAGTAGCTGGGATTACAGGCGCCCACCACCATGCCTGGCTAATTTTTGTATTTTTAGTAGAGACAGGGTTTTCACCACATTGGCCGGGCTGGTCTCGAATCCCTGACCTCAGGTGATCCACCTGCCTCAGCCTCCCAAAGTGCTAGGATTACAGGCGTGAGCCCACCGTGCCCGGCCTCAAGCATTGTATGTTTCTTATTAATTGGACTAAAATATAAAAACGAAGCTCCCAATTTTACACTTTTAATTTTTAGAGAAAACATGGAAGGAGATTCTCCCTCCAGGCAGGGCAGAGGCTTACTTTCTGGCAGTTAAGGCGCTGGGCATCCGGGGTGTACTGGTTTCCTTCAGATGCTCCTTCGGAAGGCAGGCCGCTCACTTCCTGGATGACCTGAGGCAGGAGGGAAGCCATTAGCAGGGGCTGAGGTCCTCCGGCCAGCACTCACAGCCAGGCCGAAGCCAGGGGCCCTGCAGGTCAGGGGAGAACGGGTGGAGGTGAGAGAGAAGAAGAATTTCCGAGGAGGAGGGCCCCTACCCCAGCCCCAAGGCCTGCATGTGGCCCCGGACCCGGCTGGGCAGGGCTGCAGTGGGGAGGGCTCGTCCTTTAGGCTCCTTTCTGCAGGTCCCACACATTCAGGGGCACGTGAAGGGGGGGCCTTGACAGCAAAGGCCAAAGATGACCAGAGCCACAGCCCAGGGCTCCATGAGCCCCTTTCCTGCCACCACTCCAGGCAGGACTACTGTCCTGTTGTAGATGTGACGAACAACTGCCTTGCTAGGCAGTCCCTCTGGCTTTCCAGAGGTCAGGCAACTCTGCGGAGTCTCCACGCTGCCTGAGGAGCAGGCCTGCAAACTGCCTTGTTCCAACGACCCACTGGCTCTCCCGACTCGCCGGCCGCCACCCAGCCCCCCACCCTCCTCTGGGAAGGGGCCTCTTCACTGGCTTCATTGACCGGTGGAAGAAGAGGGTCTCTCTGTAAAGGCTGGACACAGAGAGGCTGTGCCTTCTGAAAGCGTTCTTGTCTTTGAAACCCCGAGCAGAGGCTATGGGGCAGGGGTCTCAGGAAGAGGGCGTGAGACTCTGTGGAGGGAGGCTGGGTCCAGAAAAGGGTGGGTGGGTGGGTTTGGGCCGCTGGAGGAATGGAGCCTGGGCTGGGGGCAGATGCAGAAAGTCAGCAGCGGCTCTGACTATGCAAAGCATTGCCTCCGTCTGAGCCAGGAGCACTCCCTTCTGCCCGGGGGAGCTCCAAGGGTGACCAGAAACACGCTGCCCACCTGGAAGCCCTTTGGAGGTGCAGAATTAGTTAGAGTGATTTCAAAGATTCTCCTCTTTCAGTCTATGCCTAGAGTAGTTTGTGGAAACGGGTTTCAAATCAGAAGAGCCCAAGAACTCCAGTTCGGGACTGTGGTCCACACTGCATATGCAACCCAGTGTCAAGGGAAGAGCGCAGGCACTAGAGTTGGCACCTGTGTGACATTGAGTCCGAGCCTCAGCCACTGCATCTGTAAGCTGGGACAATACCTTTGCCAGGAACCGGCTGTGAGCACTTGTATATCAAGTACGCAGGCACACGATTACCATCCCTATTAGCTTGGGCCAAATACACAGATGCCCCTGCCCAGGGAAAGTGCCACTAAGCCAGGAGTTCAGGAGTGGGGTGGTGGCAGGGTCATGCTTCCCGGAAAACCCCTGCCTTGTGCCTTCCTTTACTGGGACCCTCGTCCCATAGTCAGCAGCTCCCGTTTACTGCCATATATACCTGTCTCACCCTGGGCATGGGTGTGAGTATGCAGGATTGGGACACAGAGGCCCAAGGAAGGTAGATGGGGTTCACAAACCCAATGCAGCCAGGTGAAGAGCCCATCGGACAGGCGGACCAGCCCCTAGTGCCAAAACGCAAGAGTGGGCAGCTTCTCAGAGCAGGCATTTCCAGCCAAGTCCATCTCTGCACTTATCTGACCGGGGGAAAGGGTCTCTCTGTGGAGGCCAGACACAGACAGTCTGTGCTTTCTGAAAGCGTTCTTGTCTTTGAAACCACCAGCAGAGACTGTGGGGCCAGGGGTCTCAGGAAGAGGGCGTGAGAGTTTGGGGAGGGAAGCCAGGGGGCAGGGAGAGGATCAGTGGATCTGAGCAGTCAGAGAAACAGAGTGGGGAACTGGGAGCAAGAGCAGAGAGAGTGTGTGTGTGTGTGTGTGTGTGTGTGTGTGTGTGTGTACACACGCATGCACAATGCATGCATGAACACAAATGTGCATGCAAATGTGCATACATGTGCATTTGTCTATGTGTATACAAATGTATACATGAATGTGCATGTGTGCATATATGTGTGCAAATGAGTGTGTGTGTGTAGTGGATGAGGATGGGGAGGGATAGGAGCCAGGAGACTGGGGTAAGAAACCAAACAGCCCAGAGCTCTTGGTCCTAATCAGCTCTGCAGCCCAGGACAAGCCCCCCACTCCGTCTGGGCCTCAGTGGTCTTATCTGTAGTATCCAGGTTTCATGGAGCACTCAGTATGTACCGGGCACAGTGCTAAGCACTTTGTGCACATTAAAGAATCTAGTCCCAAATCACTCAGCTAAAAAGGGGTGAAGCCCGGATTTGAACTCAGAGTCCTGGCTCTTAAATGCCCAGGACTGGCCTTTCAGAGCTTGTTAGCTCTCTCAGGAACCCCACCCCACATGGAGATCTGTGAAGTCAAGCCACAAACCTGTGTATGCACTGGCCTTTCCTTTTCTACATGCCACTGTCTTGCACCACTTGAAGATTTTGCAGTAAAGACTGAGATACCTGTCAGCACCTTCTAGAAGCTTGGTTAGGCCAGGCCTGGCATTTCTAAAACAATTAGTGGGTTTACAAAAACAGCCTGCCTGCTCCAAATCTAGGGTACTCAACCTAGGGATGGACCAGTGCCTCAGGTGGGTACATTTTGGTCATGTTTCACTGAGGCGGTCCAGATCTGTTTCTGACAGGCTGGCCAAGGTGGTTACATTTAGCTGGGTGGCAGGTGGAGTGGGGTGGGGTGCAGGGTAGATAGAATGCTCCTGTGCTGAAGTGGTTGTGATGGGAGAGGGGGCAGCAGGAAGGAGGGGAGGGGCAGCAGGAAGGAGGGGAAGGGCTGCTCTGGCTCTTGCTGGCCTCACCAGGGTCCCTGCTGGGTTTGGAGGTCCCTCTGGAATTGGGGATCCATTCCTGGTGCAAACTTTACACCTGCTGGAAGCATCAAGCCCAGCTTTCACCTGGGGCAGGCAAGCCCCTCCCCAAGTGGCTCATCATCATCACACCTGGGGAAGCGTGGGCAGAGTGGACCACAAGCATTTGCGGTGGGAGGAGGCACAGCACTGTATCAGACAAGCCTAGGTCTGAGAACCAATGCTGCCACCACTTGGCAGATGACTTGGATCCATCACCTCCACCCTTTGAGCCTGAATCACCACTCCTGTAAAATGGGGACATTAACATTCCCCAGCCATCCCCAGTGTGGTTACATGGGTTAAAGTTGCTAATAGTCCTTGGTCTATGGCAAATACATGGCAAACGGCAGCGACATGTATTCTTCTTTAATAAGGAGGTGGGGGAGCCGGGTGCGGTGGCTTACACCTATAATCCCAGCACTTTGGGAGGTCGAGGCGGACAAATCGCGAGGTCAGGAGATTGAGACCATCCTGGCTAACACGGTGAAACCTGTCTCTACTAAAAATACAAAAAATTAGCCAGGTGTGTTGGCGGGTGCCTGTAATCCCAGCTACTCGGGAGACTAAGGCAGAAGAACGGCGTGAACACGGGAGGCAGAGTTTGCAGTAAGCAGAGATCACACCACTGCACTCCATCCTGGGCGACAGAGCGAGACTCCGTCTCAAAATAAATAAATAAATAAATAAATAAGTAAGTAAGTAAGTAAATAAGTAAGTAAGTAAGTAAGTAAGTAAGTAAGTAGGTGGGGGATGCCTCACTAGAGGCAAAAAGGGAAATGGATTTCAATTGCACCCAAGTCCGGGCTACTGGGGATTCAGACCTAGCAGCAGCATGCTGTAACCCATTTGCAGAAGACAGATCACTACCACTTAGAACACAGGAAGCCCTGCAAACTTGAAGGATCACAAATCTTCTACCCCTGACCCTATCATCCATCCCTTTAGAAAAGCTGGGGGCCACAATTCTAGGAGCCCCTCCAAGTGGTCCAGTGTCCCCCTCACCCTGAGCCACTGCTCAGCCTGGTCCTTGCTCTGCAGACCCAGCACAATCACGTCGGCGTTCATCGGCGTGATCTTCAGCTTGTGCTCCTTCTTCCGCACTTGCTTCTCCTTGTGAACGACGCTGCTGCCCAGCAGGTTCACATCCAGCTGAGGGCTGTGGTCCTTGGAGGATTTGTAGCACTGGAAGGAAAGAGAGAAAATATACCACTTTCCCAGGGCTGCCGGGCGGAGGTGATGTCTGCAAAGGAGGGGCCGCTGGACGTTGCAGGACCCACCAAGAGCCTGACTTTACCCAGCAAGACTACGAGGCTGGACACCCCGAAGCAGCCTGGAGCCTTAACCTCAAATATCAGCAACTCCTGTTCTTCACATCAGATTCTGCCTCTCTCCCTCAAGCCTCCTTCTCACTGGCCTCAGCCAAGGATGCTCCAGGATGCTGCTGTCCAAATGGTTCAAACTTGCCCCAGGCCTGGGGGGCCCTAAAATACGTCCTTTGTGGACACCTTTGAGTTCTTCAAAGTGGACAGACTTTCACTCCTTCTCCACCTCCCTGCATTGCCTGCTTGGCTTCTGGGTAAAGGATCCATAAGGCACAAACACTAAGCTTCTTCTCTGCCTAGTTAGGAAGATGATGTGTTAACAAAGAAAGGCAGGATTCTCTTCCCCTACCAGAGAAAATACTTTACCCCTTGGCTCCCTATTTGTAAAATGGGGGAAACCTTACAGGCTTGCTTAACAGGATTACCTGAAATAACACTGGCACGGAGCAGGGCCTGTTGTAACCAGGCAAGAAAAGGTGTTTATAATAATTCCGTGGAATTTCAAGTCAGGACACGCAACTGGGAATTTTAACTTAAAATAGCAGGAAACAGGACTGTTGTCAGAGTAATATCTGGTTCCTTGCTGGGTCTGGTCTTATAATCAGTTATTCAAAATATTGTTGTTTCTGAGAAGATACCTAGCATTCTCATGCTGCACAGATCAAAACAGTAGCAAGGGCCGGGCGCAGTGGCTCACGCCTGTTAACCCAGCATTTTGGGAGGCTGAGGCAGGTGGATCACAAAGTCTGGAGTTCGAGACCAGCCTGACCAACATGGTGAAACCCCGTCTCCACTGAAAATACGGAAATTAGCTGGGCGTGGTGGCGGGCGCCTGTAATCCCAGCTACTCAGGAGACTGAGGCAGGAGAATCGCTTGAATCCAGGAGGTGGAGCTTGCAGTGAGCCAAGATCGCGCCACTGCACTGCAGCCTGGGTGACAGAGCAAGACTCTGTCTCAAAAACAACAACAACAAAAACAGTAGCCAGAATTGGGGCTGGGCTGGAGGAGCCTGACTGGACTCCAGTGGACAGGACATGAAAAAGGGCCAGGGGACAGAAAGATGTATCTGTCTCACAAAGAGGAGGATGGGATGGAGACGGGGGAGGCAGTGGTAGTCACAGCCCTCTTTGAGAGCCTGGTGAAACTACTAGACCTCTCTGGTTCAGAAAAAGTACATTCATCCATACACACAAAATCCTGTATACAATTTCAGGTTAGGGAGAAGTTAAAATCTCCTGATATAAACAAACTCGAAATGTCTCAGGTCAGGGACCATCCTGTCCCTCCTTCCCTGTCCCTGCCCCTTCCCTTGAGAGGAGCGGGGGGACAAGACAACGTGAGGCAGACTGACCAGAAGCCTGTTGTCCTTGATGACACAGAGCTGCTTGGCCCACTGTCCCAGCCACTTCTTGCGCCACAGGAAGGCGCAGATGCGAGCATCGCGCATCAGCTCGATGCCAGCCTCCGGCGAGGGCCACTGGTAGGGGGCCGATTTGCCCTTGCTGCCGTCCTCTTCATCGTAGGACTCGTAGGAGCTGCTCACAGCCTCTCCGTCCTCTGCAAGGAAGACCAGCTCAGTCAGGGCCCCATGGGGCAGGGGACGGTCCCGAAGCAGCATCACTGGGGAGGGCAGCAGGCAGGAGCAGCAGTGGCCAGACCACAGCCCCCGACTCTCCCTGCCCTCAAACCAACCCCACAGCCACCAGCCAGATCCCAGGGCTGGCTTTCCTGCCCCCAAACCCCTCAGCGAGGCTTCTTGGACGCTGCCTCTGGCCACAAAACACACATAACTTAAAACCAAAGTCTCTCCCTTTTCCTCCTCAAATCCTGTCACTCCCAACTCCACAGGAACCCTGAGAAGACACTGCCCCACAGACCAACTGTTTGCTCTTGACAAGGCCGGTTCTCCTACTCACGGCCTCTAATTCCTCAAATGAAAGATGAAGGGCGTGGGGTGGGATGCTGCCAGGTTCTCCCAGGCCTGGCCTCTGGCATTCCAAGGGCTCAGGAGGAAGAGACGCCACCTGCCCTCCACCTGAGCTGTGTGCAAGGCAGGCCTCTAATGGCCACCGGCCTGGCTGGGCCTGGCTCAGTCCTAGATCTGGGGAAGGGGCTGTGGCTCCTCCAAAATAAAAGTCCAAATACTTTGTGGCAGGAAATACTTTGTGGGCAAAGGGGCCACCTTCTTCCTCCCAAATACCCTCTCCTAGTCAGAGCCCTTTTTCAAACCTCCACTCATATCCTCCATAGACACTGCTTGCCTTCCCTCCCTAATACCTCCAGGCACAAATGTAGCTCCTTTTACTCGTTTCTAACTTAAACCCTTACTCTTTTGTCATTTCAAAAGAATCCCAAAACTCATCAGAGCACACATCATGCACGATTCTACGTATACCCCACCCACCTCAGTTTCTAGTTTCTGTCCCCACCACCCTGCAAGAGCTGCTGTTCCCAGGTCCCACTGCTCTATTCAAGGACAAAACAAACGTGAATAAATCAGTCAATCAGTTCATCTGTCTATCGATTGATCGATCTGTCTGTCTGTCTCTCTATTCATCCATCCATCTATCCCTGAAAAGCAGGGCATGGAGGAAAGGGAACCTCAGGATTTCAGTCCAACACCTGGCACAGGAATCCTGTCTACCATAACCTTGATGTTCTGCCCGAATTTCCCGGGGAGGGCTCACTGTCTCCTGATCACTGGATACTCCCATTCCCAGCAGCCCTATCAGTTAGGAAATGGACTCAGCATCTATTTCCCTGACTGCTGCATGGCAGTCCTTGTTCTTTCCCCTTGAGTCAGGCTGAATGACACTCTGCCTTCATTCCCATGACACCCTTCAGAAGAGGACCAGCCCAGAGGCCCCTAAGTCTTGGCAGAAGAATCCAGAAGCCCTTTCTCCTGTCTGTATAGCTACATAAAATATTGTTGATTTTACTAAGAAGCACATTTGATTTTACTAAAAAGCACATTTGAATTAGAATATAGAAAAATGGGATGAGGCCCCCGCAATAGTTATTCTAGCAACAGTGCCAATGAAAATGTGTTTTAATGTTTCTAAAAACAACATTTTAAATATTTTAATATCAGTTTTCTTTAAAAGTCGTGTGACACTACTTCTCTTTATGGCTTAATATAAAAGTGTATAATTTATACCTATTAAATAAGACTGAAAATAGCAGTATTACCCAGGATGGAACCCTGAACTCTTAGATGACAGGTGACAATGTAATTTAACACAGGCTTCTCAGACAGCAGTCTGGCAGCCTGTTTGAAGAGCCATAAAAACACCCATACTCTTTGATCCAATAATCTCAGTCCTGCTATTTTATCCTAGGAAACTAGTTTTTTAAAAAGAGAAGGGACCAGGCGTGGTGGCTCACGCCTGTAATTCTGGCACTCTGGGAAGCCGAGGCAGGTGGATCACTTGAGCTCAGGAGTTCGAGACCAGCCTGGGCAGCATGGCAAAACCCCATCTCTACAAAAAATACAAAAATTAGCTGGGCATAGTGGTATGCACCTACAGTCCCAGCTACTTGGGAGGCTGAGGTGGGAGGATGGCTTGAGCCCAGGAGACGAAGGTTACAATGAACTGAGATCATGCCACTGCACTCCAGCCTGGGCAACAGAGACCCTGTCTCAAAAAAGGGCAGGGGTGGGGAAGAATGTTACATGCATTAGAATATTCATTCAAGTGCTGTTTAGCAGTCAGCAGAAGGGGACTGGGTAAGTAAAGCATGATTTTACCCACTTAGGAATCTACTATGCAATTGTAATCAATTAAAACTCTGAAAACTGGTGTGCAGCTCAATAAACTCCCTAAGGTATGACAAGGGAGAAAGCACAATTAGAACTATACGTGCAAATAGATCAGCACTGCAAGGCAACATAGAAAAAGCTCAAAATAGTTGATTTGATGGGTGGTAGGATCAGGGTAATTTAAAAAAATTTTTCCTTATTGCCAGTATTGCATTATCTGTATAATAAGTGACATTTTAAAAATGATACACTGTCATTGGGATTCTTCCTTCAGTAACAAAAATTAATGGAGGAGGCTACAGAGTTTAGTGTGAAGAATTTGGGCAAGTCTCCACTGTTCTGCGCCTCTGGGGTTGCCCCACATGTTTCCTGAAGAATTCTAACATTTGCCCATCCTCCTCCATGGGGGTATTAGGAGGCTAAGAACAGCAAATCATTAACAGGACTAGGTATGAAAGAAAAAACATTGAGGAAAGAAAAAGAGGCTGGGCATGGTAGCTAACACCTGTAATCCCAGAAATTTAGGAGGCCAAGCTGGGCAGATCACTTGAGGTCAGGAGTTTGAGACCAGCCTGGCCAACATGGTGAAACCCTGTCTTTTCTAAAAATACAAAAAAAATTAGCCGGGCATGGTGGTGGATGCCTGTAATCCCAGCTACTCAGGAGGCTGAGGCAGGAGAATTGCTTGAAGCAGGAAGTGGAAGGTTGCAGTGAGCTGAGATCATGCCACTCCACTCCAGCCTGGCTGGCAGAGTGAGATTCTGTCTCACAAAAAATAAAAAAATAAAAATAAAAATGGCCAGGCATGGTGGCTCACGCCTGTAATCCCAGCACTTTGGGAGGCTGAGGCGGGCAGATCATGAGGTCAGGAGATCGAGACCATCCTGGCAAACACGGTGAAACCTCGTCTCTACTAAAGATACAAAAAAAAAAAAATTAGCCGGGCATGGTGGTGGATGCCTGTAATCCCAGCTTCTTGAGAGGCAGAGGCAGGAGAATGGCGTGAACCTGGGAGGCCGCAGAACTTGCAGTGAGCGGAGATTGCGCCAATGCACTCCAGCCTGGGCAACAGAGTGAAACTCTGTCTCAAAAAAAAAAAAAAGAAAAAAGAAAGAAAAAGAAAAAAGAACAATAAATCATACTCCTGGAGTAGCTCGGAGGAAATTTAGAGCAAATATATTAATAATTGTTTTTACCCATAAGAGGGATCATAATAGCACACCATAAACATTGGATATTCTTGGCCAGGCATGGTGGCTCACACCTGCAATTCCAGTACTTTGGGAAGCTGAGGAGGGCAGATCACTTGAGGCCAGGAGTTCGAGACCAGCCTGGCCAATATGGCAAAACCCCGTTTCCACTAAAGATACAAAAATTAGCCAGGCCTGATGTTGCATGCCTGTAATCCCAGCTACTTGGGAGGTGGAGGTAAGAGAATCACTTGAACCTGGGAGGTAAAGGTTGCAGTGAGCCAAGATCATGCCACTGCATTTCAGCCTGGGTGACAGAGCCAGACTCCATCTCCAAAACAAAACCAAACAAAAACAGTACCATATTCTGAAAACAGATACTTGGCTTCTAGGAGGTGCAGGGTGAACAGGAATGAGAGGCAGGATGCTGAGATAATTCCATCCCTGTTTGCCATCCCTAGGTAGACTCTACCTCACTATGTCCTGTGGAACTGAGGGCAGAACAGCCATGCACACTGTGGGTCTTTTAGCCATGTGTTTTGATAGCACGTTCAGGGCAGCGGGGGTGGGACTGTGGAAGGCCAGGTAGGTGGCTCCTCTGGGAAGATTGCACAGAGCATGCACGTGCAGGACCCATGCACAAGGACAGGAAGAAGGCGGTGGCCACCCTCGGGGCACGCACACATCTTTGAGAGCCAGGCAGCAGGCAAGAATCACTGGCATTCCAGCTCGGGGAGCAAGCAGTACCCAAGGTGATCGTGGCGTAAATGACTCCTTCGGGCATCTGCACCCATCTGGGGACTCCACTGGGGAGAAATCCACCAGAGTGACCTGCACAACATCCAGGAGCACAGACAGAGGGAAGAGAAGAGAGACAGGATGAAGAGAGGAGTACGTCCAAGTGCAGAGACACAAAGAGAGACCCAGATGTGGCAACCCAGCTGCCAGTCCACCAGAGGTTAGTGCTTGCCCATCAGAGGTGTGGGCTGTTGGGTGAGGCCACTGCTGAGCCAAGGACAACATTTCCTGGATCCAGACCCCTTCGCATCCAGAGATGACCATGTGACTACTTGTCACCAAGGAACTGTGGGTGGAAGTGATGTGTGTCGCTTCTGGCTGGTGCTTTTAAGAAGCAGATAGGGGTTCTCTGCTCTCTCTCTGCAGAGGATTCTGTGGCCCCTGAGGGTGGCCGAGACAAACATGGATGGAGCCTGGGCACCTAATCTACATGAGGATGAGTAATGCCCCCCACTGAAATACCCCTGAGTGAGAAACAGGTTTGCATTGTGTTACTGTAGACAGAAGCTGCTGGGTTGTTATAGCCACTAGCATTACCCCAGGGTAAGACACCATCAGCGAAGTACCTGGTATCTCTGGCAAGCAGGGCAGACCCCGATACCCCTAGCACAGGCCATCAGGGCACTCATTACACATGTGCTCAGAGAGAGGGACATGACCCGGGGAGCAGTGTGGGGACAGGGCTGATACAGCAGGTCAAGAATCCAAGAAACTGGCCTTTTGCAGGAAGTCAGCAAATCGCTATGGCCACCAACTATAGCAAGGGGCTGGGGCCCACACCCATTTCTCTGGCCACATGCTGCATGTCACACTGACCAGGCAGGACCTGAGGCCAGGCCAGCTTGTAAGGCAGGTGAAGGCCTCGCTCTGTGCTGACTGTGACTGCTTCTCCCCAAGTCATCCCCAGGCCTCTCGCTGGCTGGCAGGACAGGCAGAACTATGTTCCCTCCCACCTCGCAGCTGGATTTCCTCCATCTCGGAGCTTTCCTGACCCACTCCACACAGTGAGTTCGAGCTGTCCTTGGGATGACCCCTAGTCCCGGCTACGACAAGTATGAACTCACAGTTGAGAGACAAAACCAAGAAGCGCTGGCCTCTCTGACCACTTGTTTGTGTCGAGATGGAGCGTCTGCCCCACAAACCGGCCCCCTGGCACGTCTGGCAGGCAGGCCCCTGCTGGCCCGACCGCACCTGAGAGCAGGGAAGTGCTCACCGCAGTGAGTCACTGTTTCCACCTTCAACGCGCATCCAGACAGCAGCACCGCACCCTTGCCTTTGGTCTGAAATCACAGCCCAACTGGTGAGTTGGCACCACCTCACATGCTCAGTGGGTCAGTGCTAAGTGCCGACTGCCCACAAAGCCAGTGTCTTAGAATAGACTCAACCCAAACAGGCGATCACCTCCCACAGAGTTCCCAGCAGGAGGCGGCAGGTAAGTGTGAAGGAAGGGCAGGGGAATCCCATGCCTCTCCCAGTCACCGGTCCCATCTCATTCCTGGTCCTGTTCTTATTTTTATTCCAATAGTTTTTGGGGTTCAGGTGGATACGTTCTTTAATGATGATTTCTGAGACAGTGCACCTGTCATCCGAGCAGTGTACACTGTACCAAATATGTAGTCTTTCATCCCTCACCCCTGCTCCCAATCTTCCCCCGCTAGTCCCCAAAGTCCATTATATCACTCTTATGCCTTTGGGTCTTCATAGCTTAGCTCCCACTTATAAGTGAGAACATAGGATATTTGGTTTTCCATCCTGAGTTACTTCACTTAGAATAATGGCCTCTAGCTCCATCCAAGTTTCTGCAAAAAAACATTATTTTATTCCTTTTCCTGGCTGAGTAGTCTTCTGTGGTGTGTATGTACCACATTTTTCTTTATCCCCTCATTGGTTGATGGGCACTTAGGCTGGTTCCATCTCATTCCTGGTCCTGTTCTTTATGGAACCAACAACACCTTCCTCAGCCTAGTTCATTCCCAGTCCCAGGGGCCCTGGCCTTTTATATCTGCTGATTGATTATGCTTTGAAAGCCCTTTCACTTACAAAGGAAGGAAAGAGAAGGAGGCCAGAAGGGGAGGACCACAGTCCAGCTGCCCCAGAGACGAGGGTCACAACCACCTCTTCTTGAACCTTGAAGCCTTCCTGTGTAATCAAATCCCCAAACCAAGAGCACTTTTGATCCAACTTCCTCAGGCTGCGAACCATCAGCCAAGGACAGAGGGTATTAGCATGAGCCCTGCCTACAGAGCTGCTCACACAGTATCCAGGGCGATCTTTTCAATACCTAAGTGATAAAAGTTTGACTGTGTCTCTACCCAAATTTCATCTTGAATTGTAGCTCCCATAATTCCCATGTGTCGTGGGAGGGACCTGGTGGGAAGTAATTGAATCATGGCGGTGAGTCTTTCCCATGCTGTTCTCGTGATAGTGAATAAGTCTCACGAGATCTGATGGTTTTATAAAGGGGAGTTTCCCTGCACACGCTCTCTCTTGCTACTGCCATGTAAGATGTCTTTGCTCTTCATCTTCTGCCATGATTGTGAGGCCTCTCCAACTATGTGGAACTGTGAGTCCATTAAACCTCTTTCCTTTATAAGTTACCTAGTCTTGGGTATGTCTTTCTTAGCAGCATGAGTACAGACTAATACACTAAGTTAGGTCAGTCCCTAAGTAACCCTCTGGAGGTTTGCAGTCTTTCCTCACTCAGAGTCATTCCTGTGGCTGGCAGCCCCATCTGTGTCCCCATCTCCTGTCACTCTCCCCTGCTCCTGCCATGCTGGCCTCCCTGTTGTTCCTCGGACACACCCAGAGCTCTCCTGCCTTGGGGCTTTTGCGGATACCATGTTCTCTGTCTGGAAAGTTCTTCCTGAATGTATCTGCCTGACTCACTCTCCACTTCATTCAGGAATCTGTTTAAGTCATGCTATCAGAGAAGCCTTCCCATCTAAAGTAACTCCCCTGTCCTGCAGAAGCCCAGCTCCTGTTCTGTTTTCCATCCTCTCACTTATCACCACTGACACATGCTGTTTATTTGTTGTCTGTCTTCTTTCACCGAATGTCAGTGCTAGGGATGACTGGGCTCCTGTCCCTGACACAGTGGGAGCACCATAACTATGAGTCCAGTGAAAGAACGTGGAAACTGAGCTCAGACTCAGCCTGACCACCACTTCCATTGCTGACCAGGGCCTTGGGCCTGTTGGCCAAAACTCCTGTCTTCCATCACCTTTGTGCTGAAATCTCACAACTTGCAGGCAGGAACCACAGAAAACATCAGACACAGTCAACCTATGTTCCTCCTTGCAGGACAGCTAGGTCTGCTGTGGGTCTTGACTCCCCATTCAGACTAAAGGCTGAATGCTCTGTGGCCAGTTCTCAATTTGGACCATACTTTCCTGTCACAGCAGCCCAGGCTACCCTCTGTCACCCAGCCCAGGATGAGCATATCTGTTACCCCCAGGTAAGTCTGCACCAACATCTGAGAAGGAAGCAGTAAGTTGCCCTCCCAAGCCCCAGCCGCTGGGATGTACCATTCAGGGATGTGTCATATGGCTCAGCCTCTTCATAGTAGCCCTCTGGAGACTCCGTCTTTGGGATGGCAAGCTGTTTCCGTTCTGGAATCTGTGGTATGAACAAATAAGACAAACATTTGCAGATACAGTACACTGGGAGCAACTGGACATAACTCTTTGGGTGGAAGTCTAGAAGACAAAAATGCCCAGCTGGATGTTAAACTTTAAGCAAGTTGGGAGGGAGAACACGCAATATCATGAATCCCATCAGTCAGAGTCCATAGTGTTTGATCTGTAGCCATGGAAGGGCTGTGGGCACGTTTTCTAACCTTGCCAAGACTCAGCTTTCTCCCCTGCAAAATGAGGCTCAAACTCACTACCACACACACAAAATATCATTATGTACATGATATATCACACACTTAACGGTCCAGAGAGTGCCAGGCTGTTGGGATAGCTATTGTGGCTTTTAAATAGAATATAGAATATATTTTCTAAAAAGACAAGTGCTAATCAATAGCACATGGAGAAAGAGGACCAGGTTTCTAAATCCTACACTTTTACCATAGTATATAGTTCAATCACTCATTCAGCAAATAGTGGATGACTTCCACGTGCTAGCTGAGAGGGACACATTGAAACTTCACGAGTCAGTCCTAAAATAAGCTTGAGTAGCTGGTAAATCTTTAACAGCTCCTGGTCAAGTGCATTGTGATACAGTAGTACTATAATGAACAAGGTTAAAGTTCTGTGGGAACCAGAAGAGGGTGTGAGGAACATTTAGGACAAAGGAAGGATGCCCAGGGGATGTGATCTTTGGACTGAGTCTCAAAGATGACCCTGAGCTGCTTGTGTGGGATGAGGATGAAAGTGTGCAATTCGAGTAGAGTAAAAAACACCTGCAACTGTGTTAGAAGCACAGAACATGAAATCATTCTGTTCCTCCCTTATTCCACCTGCACAGTAGGCACTAGACTATGAAACTATGCTTCCATAAGCTACCTTTATACAGCAACCATGGGGGAGAAAAAGAGGTAACTTGTTGCATTACTATTATGAGACACAGGTCATGAATGTGTAAGCACCCTTGAATGTGGGTCTCTTTTGTTGTGTTTTTCAGATAGAGTCTTACTCTGTCACCCAGGCTGGAGTGCAGTGGTACGATCTCGGTTCACTGCAACTTCTGCCTCCCAGGTTCAAGTGATTCTCCTGCCTCAGTCTCCTGAGTAGCTGGGACTACAGGGGAGCGCCACCACGCCCGGCTAACTTTTATATTTTTAGCAGAGATGGGGTTTCATCATGTTGACCAGGCTGGTCTCAAACCCCTGACCTTAAGTGACTGCCCGCCTTGGCTTCCCAAATTGTTGGGATCACGGGCGCCAGCCACCACACCCGGCCCCCAGCGTCTTTCTGAATCATGAAACTCCATGGGCTGCAAGAGTATCCCTTCCAGCTTCCCCAGGGCGAGGATACAAGGGTCCCCAGAGCCCAGTCCTGTGTGGCTTGGACTCTACAATCTGTTTATATAGAGCCTGGAGTTCATGTAACTTGATTTCAATCCAGGCTTTAGGGCCTCATAGATTTAACCTTGGGTATGTGACAGGCTCTCTGAGCCTTGCTTTCCTTCTTTATAAAATAATACTAGGGTTGTTTTGAAAATTCAATGAGACAAAACGTGACTGTTTCCACAGGGCCTGGCCCATGTTAAATACAAGGAGGCCATTGTTATCACTGTCTGGGGCCCCTCCACAGTCCCAGGGTCTGCAGGTTGGGCAGTGAGGGCAGTTAATGTGACAGGAGTCGAACTACTAGACTGTTGTCCTGCAAGCTGAGACGAAGAGGATGGACCCTGACAGGGCATCACAGAGGGTTGGCTGAGACCAGGCCACAGCCTGGGTCCAGCAGCAGATCTGGTCCTGTACCAACAGAGCTGACACGAGGCACAGGGCAGACTCAGAACAGCCTTCAGCCCTCCTCTGGCACATGGCACCCCCTACAAAGGAAGGAATCAAAGAATCTGGTCATTTCGTAAGCAAACCTGACACTGTACTGGGCCGACAGATGCACTGCTGAAGGGAGTCAGGTCGCACACCTCTGCCTTAGCAGACAATGGGCGCGCCACTGGTAACTGCTAGCACATGGTCCTCCCTCTTTGCAGTCCCAGCCTGGTGCGGTATCTTTGCTGTCTCAGCCTTTCCTGGTCCCCCTGGCCAGCCAGCAGCCTGAGAAAAGGCTGAGACAGTGACAGACTGCCCGTGATCCACTAACAACAGGCTCCCTAGGGTCCACAGGGAAAGGGTCCTCTCGCCGCCACAGCAGTAAGGTCTCCCCAGTGGGTCCTAGGCCTCATAGTCTGATCTGGCTGGGCCTCCAGCTCCAGCCTCCAAGAAGCTCCATTCCCATCAGGCGGGTCCCATCTGGAGAAAAGCTCTGGGCATCGAAGATCTGGCCCCCCCAGGTCAGGATTCCCGAGAGTCGAACAGGACAAAGGGAGGAGTGAACTCTTCTGCAGGAGCTCCCCAGGGGTCATCACCACAGGGCCTGTCCCTGGGGGCCTCCTGTCCTGTCCAGGGTGGAGCCAGGCAGTGTTTTCTGAGTGTCTCCTAAGCTTCTGTTGAGAAGAAAAATAGCTCAGAGGAGTTTGAGCTACTCAGGTGTGCAAAATGTATCAAGCCCAGAGACAGGAGTATGGGGCTTCGGGCACCGTTTTCTCCCCTCCCCATTCCCATTCCTGGGGGCAACTGTTTAAAGGCATTTTATTCCTCACTAGCTGCCTCATCCATTATCTTCAGGTTCCTGGAATGTATGCTACAAAGAACAATGTTTAGCTGATGGATAGCTTACGGTATTTTAATGTAAAATATTGGTAAACAACTTAAAAACTGTCTCTTCTTTTTCCTTTGAAAACCCACTTGTAACTGCTGCCCATAGGAACATGGATGCAGGGTAACTTGAATCTGTGCTCCTGGATTGCAGCCATCAAATTTGGTCAGAATAAACTCTCTACTTATATTTATTTTGCCTCCATTTTTTGCCTGTAGGTTGACACTGCAAACTCTGAAAATGGCTCACTATGCAGAGACAGTGCAGGGCAGGAATGGAGTACGATCCCCAGAACTAGGCTTGAATCCTGACACTAGGACATCCTCGCCGTGTGACTCCGACCAACTCACTTGACCTCTCTGGACCTGGCATAAGATGGGGAGAGTAGAAATATCTGTCACATGGGGTTGCTGTAAGGATCGAAGTGTGCCTATCACTATTCAATATTCAGTACACATTAGTTTTTACTAGCCTAAAAAATAAAATGTAAAAATAAGAAAGGGAGAAAGGTGTTATATATGTGTTTGGTGGAAGATAAACCAATGCATTCCGGGGGTGGGTGCAGAGGAGACCACAGGATGGAGTCCCAGCTCTCAAGGATGCTGGGTTAAATGATGAGTCATGTGATTAAACAGACACAATGACCTATTATCAGAGCTTCAAGGAGACAGATCATCTCACAGGGTTAAGGAGAAAGGACTATTATTTTAATTATTATCATTATGATGGTGAAGACTGTGAATTCTATATATATATATTTTGAGGCAGAGTCTCGCTGTGTTGCCCAGGCTGGAGTACAGTGGCGTGATCTCAGTTCACCGCAACTTTCAGCTCCTGGGTTCAAGTGATTCTCCTGCCTCAGCCTCCTGAGTAGCTGGGATTACAGGCGCGTGCCACCATGCCTGGCTAACTTTTGTATTTTTTGTAGAGACGGGGTTTCACCATGTTGGCCAGGCTGGTCTCAAACTCCTGACCTCAGGTGATCTGCCCACCTTGACCTCTCAAAGTGCTGGGATTACAGGAAGAATGTGAATATTAAATGGAGATCCAGAAGAGATTTAACATCAAAACCTGAAAAACTTTGACTGTTTGGAGGAAGGGACTGTGTGAGCGAGTCAGGCGTGGCAGGATTGACCAGACCAGAGGTCCAAAGGGCCGCAAATCTTTTCAGGAAAGGGCCAAAAAGTAAATGTTTTAGGGATTTGTGGGCCACTCGGAACCTCTGTCTTATCTCAGCTATTCAACTCTACTGCTTGCTGTAGCTCAGAAGTCCACAGACTAATACAACTAAATAAGCTTGGCTGCGTTCTAATAAAACACTGTTGACTAAAGGATGTTGCAGATCAGATTTGGCCAGTGAGCTCCAGTTTGCCAACCCTTGGCTTAGACTAGACACAAGAGCTGATGAGGGATGGCTCAGAGGACCCAAGGCGTCCTCCCAGCTCTAACCACCCTGCCCCAGAGTACACTGCAGAAGGCTCCCAGGTGGGGGTGAGTGGACAGGCCAGGCCCAGCCTCCCAGGCTAGCCATGGCAACGTCCTTTTAGGGATTAAGTGGCTTCCCCCACAGAGCAGCTCATATAACAGCAGACCAGCGCGTGGCCAGGCCTCAGAGGGACGATGGGGTGGAGATGGCCATGCTAGCCAGACCATCAACCATGGCCAACAAACATCTGTTTCTCCTGCAAGGACCACGGCACCTGGCTGTGTAGACAGCAGCCTGGAGAGGCCACAGCTCCGTGAGTCACTGTCCACACCCACGAGGTCACTCCAAACCCCTGGCTGCCCCTTCTATCGCTGGACAGACCTGCTCTCTACTGAGTCTGTAGGGGTTGGAGTGAGGACATCTGGGCTCGTGGCCGACAAGCATCCCGAGCCTGCGACCGAGGCATGATCCTGGCCCAGCCATAGGCCCTGAGGACCCCAGGCGGACGTCCAGGTGCTGCAGAAGGGGCCAGTGAATCCAGGGCCAGGCAGCTGTGCAGGGCTCAGCCCTCAGGTGGAGCAGCCTCCCTGACACCTTGAAGTTCTGGGATCAGGGGAGGAAGGGACGGGTTTGCTGTCTGAGGAAGAGAGGCCACAGGGCACTCCAGGCTCAGGGCTCCAGCCTCAGCTGGACAGTGACTCAGGCAGCTGTGGCCTCTCCAGGCTGCTGTCTACACAGCCAGGTGCTGTGGTCCTTGCAGCAGAAACAGATGTTTGTTGGCCACAGTTGATGGTCTGGCTAGCATGGCCATGGGGTTCCAGCGGCCACGGCCTCTCCCTGCTCTGGTTCTCCTCCTCCTTCAGAGCCACAGACACGGCTCTGCCCTGACGCTGCTCCTCTGGGGGCCCTGGACTAACAGTGATGGCTGCTTCAGCCTGATTCAACCTGAGGAGGCCTGAGGGAGTGAGGACGTGTGCTCGTGTGTGTGGGCAAGGACAGGGAGAGTGCCTGGTGGACACCACCTACATCCCCGCACCACATCTGGCACCCCCTGGGGTAGTTGGGTGCCTTGCACAAGACCAGGAGGGACCTAGCCAGGGGACTCGCGGTCCACGCCCGTCTCTGGTCCTTCACAGCAAAGTCCACAAAGTGGGAGGGAGCTGCCTTTTCCTGTCAACTCAGCTGGCTTTGCTAGAAGTCTCCCTGGGGCCTGGAAGCTGTCCACAGGCAGTTACCACTTGGCTGAAAGGCCACCTTGGGATCGGGCCATTCCTGGGTACTGATATTTTCCCCAACTGCAGCACCAGTTGCAGTTGTCCTTTCAAACAGGACACAAGCCCTAATCACAGACAATCCAAGAAGTCTACTCTAGAGGGAACCACGTGCCCCTCTCCACACTCAGAGTCCGAGGCACAGGGCACTGGCCGAGGAGCAGAAGCCAGCACCAGAATCCCAGGGCCCACAGGGACTCACCATGGCCCAGTTAACTTACAGCTATAGCCAGGCCCCAAACCCTGGGCCCCTCAGTCCATGCTGTTCATAAAACACAATTTCTCGAACACTCACACAGTACTCGGTGCTCGTGAAACTCTGCCCCTACCCACCAGCTGAGGACCCACCCGCAGCTGTCCCTGGTGGGGCAGACAATGGCACTTCCACTAGCAAAGCCCAAGGTACCTTGGTCAGAATCAGACGCTGGATTTAGGATAGAAAAGTTCCAGCCGTGGCTCAGAACAGCCACCTTTCCACTCCCACCAGCCAGCAAGCAATGCCTGGGCCACACCAGAAAACCTCTGGTTAAAGCCATCAGCATACGGATGGGACAGCAGAGGTGTTGTGCTGTTCCCCCAAGTATCGGGACTGAAAGTGAGGGGAGCCTGGTGCTGGAGGGATACAGCTTGAGCCCTTGCCCTGCTACAGACAGGAGCAAATGTCAGGGAGGCCCAGGCTGGGGGAGGAATTGGGAACAACAACAACAAAAACCTGCATTTAAATCCTGGCCTAGTACCTCCCAACTGTGGGACCTTGGCCAGTGGTTTTTAACTCTGAGTCTGTTTCTTCATATGAAAAACAGTGACGAAAATACTTATTCCTTGCTGGGTGGTGGGCGGATGGTGTGTGTGCATGGGATGGGGTTGAGGCTCAGGGTATAACAGTGACTGGCACTGTCGGCATCACAGGGACACCAGGGACTCAGGTTCAGTCTTGACATCAAGCCTCACTCAGCCTGAGATGAGGAGTCCCCACCAGCTGTCACCCAGCTCAAGGGACAGCATGCAGTGGGACACTGTCCCCAGTTCTCCGGAACTGCCCACCCATCACACATGGTGGAGTCAGATCCTCAGCTGTGGCCCCTGCCCCCCAGGAAGGCACGAATGAAGGGGCCAGTCCAGAGCCATTCTGGGGCTGGGATCCCCTCCACGGAAACATGTGCCCACAGATCAGGTGATGGTCACTTGGCGGGAGCTTAGCTTCCTGCTGGCGCTGACCCCAGACCCCCTGGCTACCCATATAAACCCTTCTAAGCTGAGATCCCAGTCCTGCCCCAGGATCCCTCCCCAGCCATGCCCTACAGGGGAAAGAACGTGGGTTCAAATGCTGACTCTGTTACTTACAGGCTGTGTGACATTAGGTTTCCTCACCCTTAAAATATAAATACTACCACTTACCTCACTGAATACTAGCACAGTATGCCACACAGTGGTGAGGGGCTGCCAGCCTTAGCCCATTGAATAAGCCCATCTGATGAGACAGATGTGAGCACTTCCCCCATATAAACCAGGAAACAGAGGGTTAGAGACTTCAAATAACTTGCTCAAGGCCAAAGAGCTAGTGGCATGCAGAACTGGGATTTGAACCCACATCCATATGATTTTACAACTCTATCCATCCAAATTAATGGATATTTATGTATGGCCTACCTCTATCCATGTCTGCAGATACTGGACACAAAATAGTAAACGAGAGACAAGGTCCCTGTCCTCAGGAGCTGACATCAGGAAAGGAGACAGTAAACAAGACTGTTCCAGTAGCACAAGCCATGGAGCGGGTAACTGGGTGGCGGGTAGATAGCAACCTGGGTGCAGATGGGGGAGGGATGCCTTACTTAGCCAAGGCAGCAGAAGTCTCTTTTTTTTTTTTTTTTTTGAGACGGAGTCTCGCTCTGTCGCCCAGGCTGGAGTGCAATGGCGCGATCTCGGCTCACTGCAAGCTCCGCCTCCCAGGTTTCACGCCATTCTCCTGCCTCAGCCTCCCGAGTAGCTGGGACTACAGGCGCCCGCCACCACGCCCGGCTAATTTTTTGTATTTTTAGTAGAGATAGGGTTTCACTGTGTTAGCCAAGATGGTCTCGATCTCCCGACCTCGTGATCCGCCCACCTCGGCCTCCCAAAGTGCTGGGATTACAGGTGTGAGCCACCGCGCCCGGCTGAAGTCTCTCTTAAGAACTCCGGAGAGATGAGAAGTTAGTAGGGGCCCAGGTGGTGCAAAATCCCTAAAGCAGGCCTGACCACAGTGACAGAATCCAGGGGCAGAAGGGAGGCCAGTGAAGACCCTGTATGAGGAGGCCGGACAATGAAGCTGAGCCAGATCATAGGCCCTGAGGCCATGCTAAGAAATGGGATTTTGTTTTTTCTATGTTTAATAAGAACTATTGGTAAGGTTCAAGCAGGAAGTGCAGTATGATATGATTTATGAATTTTTACTTTTCCTTTGCTTTTTAACTCCAGAACAACATAGGGGAATGACTTATTTATTTATTTATTTATTCACTTATTTTATATCTTAGAGATGGGGTCTTGCTATGTTGTCCAGGTTGGCCTATAGTGGCTATTCACAGGTGTGATCACAGTGCACTACAGCCTCCAGTTCCTGGCCTCATGCAATCCTCCTGCCTCAGCCTCCCGAGTAGCTGGGACTACAGGCATGCACCACTATACCTGGCTCTTGCAAATTTTTTAAAGGTCACTGTGGCCTAGGCTGATGACCACAGCTGTTCATGGCCCTGTTCACATGATACTGGATAAAGAGCCTGAGTAGCGTCAGGTGGCACTCAATCAAATTTCCCCAGACCCATCACTGTCAGCATCCGGAGTACTGCGGCCCCAAGCAAATCCCCTGTAGGCAGGTTTACTTTTGCTCTGTCCCTACCCGTGCCTTGTCCCTGTCCCTGAACACAGTAGTTGCTCAGAAAATGCCAGACGCTAAGTGAGCTGACACCTGTGAGGACAACTGGACGTTCAAGGGGCTCACATTAGGGAAATCAGGGGTCCTGGACTGACACTTACCATCTTGGGTGGTGGGAGGTCTGGAAGGCTCTTCTGAGGGGCCGAGGAGTGCTGGCTGGGCTCCCCATTGGGCAGCAGGCCCTGCTCCTCAGGCACTGCGGGCAGCAAAAGGAGAAGGCTTCGGTGAGGGGTGAGCAGCCTCACACAGGGTCTCCTTCCTCAGGAATGCCTGGTCACATGCACCATTCCTGGTCACATGCACATGCACCTCTTTTTGAGGTGTTTATTATCCAGGCAGGCGGTCTCTGGAGCTGAAGTTGTTTTTCCTCCAAGGATAGGGTACAGGAGTGCCCCAGCCATGTGCCTGGTATTTCTGGCAGCCTCTGTACCTGCTCCCCTACCCACCCCACGTCAAAAAAATGGTCTAGCCACAGAGCTTCGGCCAGCAGAGGAGCTGCCTGGCGGCCACTATATTGAGCCACTCTCAGCATGGACCCTGTGATTATGGCTTTTTCCTCCCACAGTATACCCGGAAGGCAAGCGACCCCCACCAGAGTGGCCAACCTCATCTGGATGGGTTCTGCCATGTCTCAGGCTTGGTGAGGGGCAGGAAGTGAAGGAGCCACACTGGCGAAGTGAGGCCACCAACCCTCGGTGCACTTGTAAGGAAAGGTGCCAAAGACACTTCTGAGCCTGTCCATTTCAGCCAGCCCTGGGACAGACAGTCTCAGGCAGGCCCGACCTCGGGGATTTGGTGGCTGATGTCTCAAAGACAAGCCTTTGACGGGACTGAGTGCTTTGCAATGCTGTGTTCCCACCCCTCTCTAAGCCTTTGTGTTTGAGTCACAGGCTTGGGAGTTAGGAGATGGTGCTTCTTAGCCTGCCTCTTCTGCAACTAGGCAGCTCTGCATACCTCTGGGCCTCCCCAGGGTCTTGCCAGGCCCCTCCCTGGAGGTTTTAAGGGAAAAGCAGAGAGCAGAACAGAGCAGAAGAGGGAGGCACCATGGAAGACAACATATGTCCTTCCCATGGGAGACAAAACGTTCCACCAAAGACAGCACCTTTGAACATCATCTGTGACTATTAAGGCAGTTGCTGACACCACCATTTATTTCTCTCTCCTCTTCCTCAAAACAGACTTCTATCAAAAGACATAAAGGCAGAACCGTGGGATCAGCACCACACACAGCTGCTTTCTTCGAACATCTGAATTATGACTTCCTGTTCCTAGGATGATGCTGGGAACAGCCAAAAAGTTTTAGGGCCAGATTCCTTATCCAATGGGCAAGGAGGGGGTGGCCTGTTGAAACATCCCAAAATACATCAACCCAAAATACCACCAACCAAAATGTGGCTTCCAAAAATAACTCCGCCAGGCGGGTCTGTGTGCCGGCTGGGAGGAAGAAGAGGTGGGACAGAACCAGCGTGGACCTTCCCTCAGCCCGGGAGTGGCCATCCCGTCAGTGATCCCAGCCTCATACCTTTGCCTTGAGACTCTGCATTCTGTTGCTGGTTGATGGTCACTTTGTTCATATAAATGTACTCCTCATCAGAGCCTGCAGAAGGAAGAAGACACGGGCTTGGTATGACTTCATGAAGAGAAAGGGCCTCCAGCCAGAAACCCTGTTACCCCAGAGCCGTTTTCGCCTGCTTGGGTTCCAGTAAAAGCACACGGCATTTTCAGTGGATTGAAAGAATAGTCTAACATGGAAAGAGCTGACAGATTTGCAAAAGAGAAATGACAAGTTGCTGACTGCTGGTTTTCTAGCCTGGCTGAGGGGGCGGGGGCAGGTAAGATACAGAAGGATAACTTAAGGAATAAAAGTCCTGTGCTTTGGGAGGCCGAGGCAGGCGGATCACTTGAGGTCAGGAGTTGGAGACCAGCCTGGCCAACGTGGTGAAACCCTGTCTCTACTAAAAATACAAAAGTTAGCCAGGCATGGTGGCGTGCCTATAATCGTAACTACTCAGGAGACTAAGGCAGGAGAATCACTTGAACTTGGGAGGCAGAGTTTGCAGTGAGCCGAGATCACACCACTGCACTCCAGCCTGGGCAACAGAGTGAGACTCTGTCTTTAAAAAAAAAAAAAAAAAGAAAGAGAGAAATCTTAAGTTCAAGATCTGCCTTGTATCCCACCAAGTAGAGATGTCTCTGGGCTTCCTAGCATTTCATTTAAATTGTAAAATATTTCCTGTCATTCTCACCCTAGTCTAAATTACTTGAATGGGCTAATCCGAGTGTGTGTAGATAAGCCAGGTCACACTGAGGACCTGGAAGTTTAGCTCAGAGGCCTCTAGGTAGGGGGCCATTGGACGGGTGAAGGGGGACCTGAATAGCCAAATCACGTGAGTTCTGAGTTTAAAGGGGTGAGTATCCTGAGAATAAGAACTGAAGAGCCACCAGCCACCTGCTCTACCCTATGGATTATACCCTGCAGTGGCACAACCCATGCCCTCCTTCAAAACCACTTCTGTGCAGGCTAAGTCACCTTTCCCATGCCTGTCTGGGCAGAGAAAAGCTGACCTCCTAACTCTTGCTCCACTTCAATCCCCCAAGGACCCTTTCTTCAGAAGTCTTCAGAGGAAACTCATCCTAGGGTTTCTCTTTGTCAAAATCCTCTTGAATTTCTTCTGCAGCCTTAATTTGCATTTCCTAGAAACTTGTGGCTGATAAATTCCAGTGGTTGGAGACTGCGTTACTGAGCCAAAGGACCCAATTCTAACCTCTGGCGAAGGAAGCAGTTCAGCGTCACTCTGTTCCACGGCCACAGACCACCCAAACTCCAGCCAACAGGCCTGCAAAAGCAGGGCCCCAAGAGCCAAGAGGAACAGGATGGGCTGGATACAGCCTCAGTGAACGGCACCTGGGGTTGTCATCTTGGTGCCTTGCCCTGCCAGGACCAGTCAGCAATGTCACCCCTGTGCCAGGGACTGCAGCAGTTTATGGTGGGAGCTATGAGGTATGAATGGAGTAAACCGAAACTCACAGACTCCCACCCACTGAGACTCAAAGGGGGCTGGGTCAGTCCCTTCTCCAGAACATGGCAGAGGGGAAAAGTGCCCCGCAGGGAGAGGCAGGAGAGGGCGTCTCAACCAAAGCTTTGCCATAATGGCAGAATTCTGGGTAAAGCACCTAACCCTTGTGCCTCCGTTTTCTTGTCTGCATAGTATGGAAAACAATCATGATGAAATACTGCCTGTTTAACCAAACTCTTCAGTTTTCAAGAGTACAAAACTCAGATACTAGGGGGTTTGGAAAGGTAAGGTAACCTTACAACTAAGACGAAAAATGACAGCTTAAAACATGGGACGTGACTGAAAGGCTCAACAACAGGAAAATGGTAACAAACCATGGCACATCAACATATACAACAGCAAGTCATGTTTAAAAACTAAATAGATTACTGAAGAGTGTATAATTGGCATGGCCATTTTAGAGATGATTTTGGAGGATATGTTTTTGTGTTCATATTCTTTGACCCAGCATTTCTACTGCCAGAAACTTATCCTACAAATAAACTCTAGCCTTTAAAGAAAACCGTATTTAAGGACATTCACTACAATATTGCATGAATTTTTTTAAAAAAAGAATACAAAATATGGCCAGGCACGGTGGCTCACACCTGTAATTCCAGCACTTTGGGAGGCCAAGGCGGGCAGATCACGAGGTCAGGAGATCGAGACCATCCTGGCTAACATGGTGAAACTCTGTCTCTACTAAAAATACAAAAAATTAGCCGGACTTGGTGATGGGTGCCTGTAGTCCCAGCTACTCAGGAGGCTGAGGCAGGAGAATGGCATGAACCCAGGAGACGGAACTTGCAGTGAGCTGAGATAGTGCCACTGCACTCCAGCCTGGGTGACAGAGCGAGACTCCGTCTCAAAAAAAAAAAAAAAGTAAATGTCTACCAATAGGTTAAACATTAGGATTCACCCAGCATTGAACTCTACCCAATCATGAAAACTAGCAAGGTAGCTCTGTGTCTGTTTACAAAGATATTCAAGACCTAGAGTTTGATTATAAGATCATGTTTCAGAATAGCAAAACAAGAAAAAGTATATGAATTGTCAACACATGGAAATGTGTGCATGCAGCAATTCTAAATATAAAAATAATGTAAAGCAGAAAACAGAGGAAAACCACAAAATATTCAGATAATGCTGATAAAGATCAGAAAAGGAACTGGAAGAACATAAATAGTGTTCAGTGTTCGTTTTATTTTTTTATATCATTAAGTTCACACACCTATACAAAAAAATAAAAGACAAGATGTTATTGTTTTAAATGTTAGATTCTGAGCAGGTGCTTTCTCTCTAAGATGACGATTTGTAAGTTGCAGAGAAAACTCACACTGGCCACTTCATGAGGGTGCATCGGCCCACCTCGGGTGTGCTGCAGGCTGAGGCTGACTTAGTTTTGATTCCTAGAGGGTTGCTAATCTAGGACTATCCAGGTTGGGAAATAAGAGGCTCCCAAGACCTTCTGCAATTGTGGGAAAAATACAGTAACCTGGCCCTAGTCAGTGAGGTCGCTGACAGGGAGGCCAGACTGCTCAGTCCTGTCTGGGAGGCGGCAGCCTTGGGCTGGAGAACTTTCTATTGTTCACTCAACTATCTGAAGAAGTGCATTCAGCATCAGCACTGTGCTAAGTGTTGGGGATACAGCAGAGAACAGATGTTACCTCTGCCTTTGTGAACTCCACAGTCTGGCAGGAGAGACATACCTGAATCTGATTGTTACACAGTGGGTGGGAAATGACTATGGCCTGAAGGTGTTGGGAAGATGAGCTCAAAGTGCTTGGAGGTCTGCAGAGGGTGGTCCTTCCCAGAGAACTGGTGTAGGGTGGGGAGGAGGAACATGAACCTGTTTGCTACCACTGGATACAGAGCATTTGAAGTGCTTTTTGATCAGAGGGGCAGCCACTGAAACGTCCTTGGAACTTCTGAGGGTGGGAGTAGGAGTGTGAGGCAGGAGCAAGGGCTGGTATGGTAGGGACACAGCTCTCACTGATGAAGGCTGGAACAGACCACAGGGAGCCAAGCCCTCAATAAACAGATCTTAGTCTATGCCTGGACCTCTCCATCCAGACAAAAAGCAAAGAGGGTGGAAAAAATTGTTACACTGAGGAAAAAAAAAACAAAAAACAAAGATCAGAAAACTCAAAAGAGACAATTCCCTTTGCGAAGTATAAATGCACACATACACATCCTGCCCAAAATGTGTGGAAGTCCCAGCAGCTCAGCCTGTGTGGACCACGGCTATCTTGAGATAATCACCTTGCCTCCATCTACAAGTCTCAACAGGCTGAGCTAATTTTTGGGTAGAGGTGGGTCTGGGAAGGCAAGGGAAAGAATGCTGTAATTTCAGGTGTGGTATGTCTGTTTAAAATTCTGTCCTGTGCGACACAACAGTTACTGAAGCGCAATGGAGCAGGGGGAGACAAGGTTAGGTCCACCTGTCCAGGCCCAAGCCCTGGCTCTGCCCTCACAGCCGTGTGCCCTCAGGAAAGTGACTTTCAGAGGCTTGGTTTCCTTGCTGGTAAAATGAGAATAAGGTTTGGGATAAGGAATGAATGATGTCATCCATGTCATTTACTACACTAAGTACAGAGACACAGAAAGTACACAGTAAATGTTGGCTGCTATTGTACCCAATCTGCGGTCTAAGGGCTACAAAGAGGGCCGGAAGGGAAGTTCTGTTAAACAGTGGCTATTAACAAGTGGGCTTCGCTTCTGAGAATACAGGCCCCAGGCCTCAGTGTGGCTGTGCATGGGTGGCACTCTGGAGGTGATTCACCTTGGGGAACCCATGACCAGTTCTCAGCAGCTTCCCACCCCCTACGAGCTGCAGAGTCCCAGGAGAAGGGGAAGGCCTGACTTTATAAGAGCTGATCAAGGGCAGAACAAAAAGGTCATCCTACAGGAAGCCACATGACAGGTTAATTCAAAAAAGAGACCACATATAGGAGGCGCTGCCAGAGTGGTTAGCACCAAGAACCACGGGTCAGACTTATCACAAACAGGTGGTTTCCGTTCCCAACAGAAGCGTTTTTTATCATTGTGCGTTCAAGGTGGAGCATATCGAAGTGGTGTGGGGAGTGTGCTTTTTAGAGGATTCCACTGATAAATCCTTCATGGAGTGAACCATCCCCCTCTAACTTTCCCGCTTTGTAATGTGGATTTCCCATCTGTGTTCCCACGGTGGGCTGCTTTGATGTGCTGCTGACCAGCACTCGTGGCGGCAGGCAGGCGGACGCTCCCTACAAAGCCTTCAGGAGCATGGGAAGCTGCAAAGGCTGAAGGAAAACACCTCTGATGAGAGGCTAAGGCAGATGATTCCTCCAGAAGAGAAGGCAGATGGGCATATAGCAACATGCCTCGGCTTTACGACTGCTTATTCAGAGAATAGAAACTAGTTCCACAGGGAACAGGGAAGGGGAAAGTCCTCGAAATGTAGTCTGGCAGATTCAGGTTGGACACAAGGAAGCATTTCTGGACTGTGATGGCCGGGGCAGGTGGAGACTTCCCTTCCCTGGCAGCACTTGGCCTGTTCCCGCTGGGAGGCAGATGGATTACATGCCCTCACACGGTCCCTGACTGTCCCCAAACAGCATTTCCAGTTCTTAAACATCTGACATAAAAATCAACTCAACTGTTACGACTTCACAAAAAGGGTTTTCCTTTTTTAAAGGAATCTGAATTTGCTAGAAATAAAACCATATGTCCACAAGAAGACTTTTTCAAGAATGTTCCTAGCCGCCTCATTCGTAATAGTTCAAATCTGTGACCAACCCAAATGGCCATCAGTTAAGTGAAAGGATAAACAGACTGTGATATATTCACAGAATGGAATACTACTCAGCGATAAAAGGAACAAACTACAGACACACTCAACAGCATGGATGAATGAATCTCCAGAGAAGCCAGACATACAGTACACATCATATGAATCCAGTTATACAGAACTCCAGCACAGGCAAAATTAATCAGCACCATGGTTGCTTGTGTTCGGCGGCTGGGAATGGCCAAGACAGAACTTTCTGGATAATGGAAATGTTCTATATCTTGTTCTGGGTGATGAGGAGACAGGGGTATACAATTATCAAAACTCACTGAATTGATTATTTCACATATGTGCACTTTATAAGTAAATGATCTCAATTTTAAAAAGACAGAAAAATTATGGATTCAGGGTTCTGTAATTTACAAAGTCTTCCAACTATGTTTTCCCTTGGGTTGTGTAATACAGGGCAGGTTAAACTCTCCAGGTCTCAGTTTTCCCCTCTATAACAATAGCACCAGCCTCACAGGGATGTCTTAAAGATGAAATGGGTTATTACATATACTCATGAGACTGTTCAGTAAGCCCTAGCTATTATTATAGTTCATTATTGCATCTCTACTTTCAACCAGCAGGGAAGAGTGCTTTGAAAATACTTCATTTAAAACCTCACTCATATGCTGCTGTGTCAAGTGGCCAGAGATTTCTAGGGCTCCGGCCCAAGTCAGGTCAGTCCTGCACCATCGTATATTAAATTGGTATATTAAATCCTAGCACCCAGTATGCCTCGGAATATGATAGCATTTGGAGATACGGCCTTCAAAGAGGTAGCTAAGTTAAAATAAGATAATTAGGGTGGCCCTAATCCACTATGACTGATATCCTTATAAAGAGAGGAGATTAAGGCCAGGCACAGTGGCTTGCGCCTGTAATCCCAGCACTTTGGGAGGCCGAGGTGGGTGGATCACCTGAGGTCAGGAGTTTGAGACCAGCCTGGCCAACATAGTGAAACCCTGTCTCTACTAAAAATACAAAATTAGCTGGGCGTGGTGGCGGGCGCCTGTAATCCCAGCTACTCTGGAGGCTGAGGCAGGAGAATCGTTTGAACCTGGGAGGTGGAGATTGCAGTGGACTGAGATCATGCCACTGCACTCCAGCCTGGGCAAGAGAGTAAGACCTTGTCTCAGAGAGAGAGAGAGAGAGAGGAGATTAGGGCTGGGTGCAGTGGCTCACACAGTACTTTGAGGGGCCCAGGCAGGGTGGCTGGCTTGAGCCCAGGAGCTCAAGACCAGCCTGGGCAATGTGGTGAAATTCCATCTCTACAAAAAACAAATACAAGAAAAAAAAAGATAGCTGGGCATGGTGGCATGCACCTGTAGACCCAGCTACTTGGGAGCCCAGGAGTTTGAGGCTACAGTGAACCATGATCGCACCACTGTACTCCAGACTGGGTGACAGAGCGAGCTTCTGCTTCAAAAAAGTTAATTAAATAAGAAGAGGTGATTGGGACACAGACACAGAGGAAAACCCATGTGAGGACGCAGGGAGAAGACAGCCATCAGCACGCCAGGGAGAGAGGCCTCAGAAGGGACCAAACCTGTTGATATCTCGATGTGAGACTTCTGGCCTCCAGAAGCGTGAGAAAAGAAGTGTCGTTTATAGCACCCAGCCTGTGGTCCTTAGCTATGGCAGCCCGCACTGACTCACAGCCATCTCTATTTGCGTGGAGGCCTCTGCACCGCCCGGGGCCCACACTCACTGCTGCTTTTGGTGTAAAGCCGGAGGAGCTCCGCCAGGCAGCTCTTCTTCACCAGGGCTGTGCTGCTCAGGTTCTCCTGGTCAAGAATCTTGAGGAAGTCATCCAACTCCGTCAGCAGCTGTTCCAGGGCTAGGGACAGGAAACAGAAGAAACTCACAGTGGCTGCCCTCTCTCCAAAGGCCCAGCTCAGATACACCTCGAACCCTCTGGTCCCAAGAGGAAGGGTTTGGTGTGAGGTCTGGCAGCGTGTGGGGCGACTGGGCAGAAGATGGGAATCTCAGCTCCAGGGCCACAGGGAGAGAGAACCAGGCCCTTGGCTTGGAGAGAAGCAGCCTCCGCTGAAGCCTCAGGCTTACCAGGTGCTGAAAGAGTGACCATGGCCTCGTCGGCCGACTTTCTATCTCCTCCACTGCAAACGTCTGCACTCACAGCGTGCTTGTGAAAACTAAGACTGTACTACCTCCAAAGTGCTCTGAGGGCCGCTGAGCTCTGCTCTTAGAGCCGTGGCTAGAATGAGGGTTCCTCCCATCCAGATCCTCTCTGGGGGCTTTCGGCCCATTTACTTCTTAGGTCTTTTAGGTCAAATGCTTTGTCAAGTTCCTTCCAGTTCTGCAGTTCTATGGTTCTCAGCCTCGTCTTGGCTGCATGACTTTAAAGTACGAATCTCTTCACGGGTTGTCCATGATTAAAAGCCACACCTGGGCCGGGCGCGGTGGCTCACACCTGTAATCCCAGCACTTTGGGAGGCCGAGGCGGGTGGGTCACAAGGTCAGGAGATCGAGACCATCCTGGCCAACATGGTGAAACCCCATCTCTACTAAAAATACAAAAATTAGCTGGGCTTGGTGGCGTGCGCCTGTGTTCCCAGCTATTCAGGAGGCTAGGGCAAGAGAATCGCTTGAACCCGGGAGGCGGAGGTTGCAGTGAACTGAGACCACACCACTGCACTCCAGCCTGGCAACACAGCAAGACTCCAGATCAAAAAAGAAGAAAAAAAAAAAGCCACACCTGGTTCCTCAGAAGCCCTACCTGGCCTCCAAAGCCCTGCAGACTGCAGCAGCCTCACCCATGATCACTGTCATACTCCACAGCCCGGACACTGCACCCCTCTTTCCTTCCCTGGCCTTCATACATCATGGTCTTCTCCCCCTCTGCTAAATCACACTTGTCCCTCTGTTACCAGTGGTAGTTATCCGTACGGATCTGAAGCAACCTCAATTCTTGCCTCCTCAGAAGAAAGAATTTGAGGGGCATAAGGCAGGAGGGGAAACAGACAAGTTTCAGAGCAGAAGTGAAAGTTTATTAAAAGCTTTAGAACAGTAAGGAAAGGAAAAGCAGCAAAGTCCAACTTGGAAGACGGCTACATAGGCGACCTGAGAAACCAAGTGTGAGGCTTGACCGCATTACCTGGGGTTTTCTACGCTGGCATACTTCCGGGACCTCACCTTACTTCTCCTACTCCTGAGATCTTATTGGGAAGCTGCTGATTGGTTTCAGGTGTTTTCTATGAGGAGCCTGCCTTTCCCTGGCACTGGCTGTGACCAATCATTCCTTTAGAGAAACAGTTAACAACTGCCTGACCATCACCTGGTGGTCATCCGGCACTCCTAGTGTGTGGGGCGGGGTGGGGAGCCCTCTCCTTCCCGGCTCAAACCTAATGAGCTACCCGCTGTAACACCTCAGGTCTTGGTCTAGATAACATTCCTCCTGAGACACCTTCTCTGGACCTCTTTTTTTTTGAGACGGAGTCTCGCTCTGTCCAGGCTGGATTGAGTGCAGTGGCGCAATCTCGGCTCACTGCAAGCTCCGCTTCCCGGGTTCACGCTATTCTCCTGCCTCAGCCTCCCGAGTAGCTGGGACTACAGGCGTCCGCCACCTCACCCGGCTAGTTTTTTTTTTTGTATTTTTTAGTAGAGACGGGGTTTCACCGTGTTAGCCAGAATGGTCTCGATCTCCTGACCTCGTGATCCGCCCGTCTCGGCCTCCCAAAGTGCTGGGATTACAGGCTTGAGCCACCGCGCCCGGCCCTCTGGACCTCTTTAACAGATAATCCCATGTTACCAGCACTGGCCTCTGTGATGGGCTAAATATTGGGCCCCCAATGATGTCCATGACCTAATCCCCCGCATCTGTGAACATGCTACTTGACATGGCAAAGGGACTTCACAGATGTGATTTAATCAAGGAGATTATCCTGGTTTGTGCAGGCGATCACAGTGTAATCACAGGGGCCCTTATAAGGGGGAGTTAGGAGGGTAAGAGTCAGGGAGATAAGATGCTACCATGTTGGCTTTGGGGACAGAAGAAGAGACCATGAGCCAAGGAACACAGGTAGCTTCTGGAATCTGGAAGAGGTGAAGAAGTAGATTCTTTCCTAGAGCCTCCAGGAGGAATAGAGAGCCCTGTGGCCCCCTCTCAGATTCTGATCTCCAGAACTGTAAATGAATGAGTTCATGTTGCTTTATGTCACTAAGTTTGGTAATTTGTTACCGCAGCAATAAGAAACTGAGATACCCTCTCAAAGCTCTGACTGCATCATGGTGTAGCTGTCTGTGTCACCATTTAGATGCAAGCTCCAAGGACAGGCTTTGTGTGGAGCTCATGTTTCCAGGGCCCAGCACAATGTCCAACAAACATTTGTTGACTAAATGAGTAAATGAAAGCAAAGCAAATCTATCCACTTACTTTGTACATGAAAGAATTCCGTGACCTGGATTAAGAGCAAACAGAAATCCACTAAAAATCTAGGTATCTGGCAGGTCCTATCTAGCTAAAATATTGGAACAGACGGGATTTTTAAAACCATCTCCTCCACTTCTCTAGCTTACATGATACAGTCGCAACACTGAGAACCCAAACAATTCTTCCCCCAAATGGTCTCCATGAAACCAACTCCTAGAGTTTACCGCATGAACGAGCTGTTCTGAAATCTGGACCCCAGCAACCTGCCCACCATCTAGAACCCTTGGCACCTCCTGCTTTCGTTGTGATCACTCTGCTCCAGACCAGCATGAGCTCCCCGTCTACACGGGCAGCCCTTCATTTGTGTCAGTCTAGGGGCGAGTCAGTGGTTAAGGAGAAACAGGCACTTTGTGGGAAGCCTGCACTCATTTGCTCACCTCACCCCGCCCCCTTGTCTCCTGGCATTGCTGGTCAATCCCACCATGACATTAAGCAGATTTACAAATAACCAGCAAGAAGGGAGGGAGGGGGCTGGCACTGGGCACACCACAGTGCAGGGCAGAGACTAAGCTCTTCCAGGTAGTCAAGTGTGTGCCCAAGAGCATTGGTCACAGGAGCTTCTCAGCAGACAGAGAAGCATCGGCAGGATCAGTTACCATGGGCATCACCAGCAAAAGTTGCCCTGTTGACCTTAACCTTAACCAGTAGGGCACCCACCATCTGACCCAGGGGAGCTTCTCTGCTGGAGCTGGGGACCTCAGCCCTGTGCCCTGCTGTGACCAGACTTGCTCACCAAGGGCCAAGAGCCACACTGCCAGCATCACCGCACCCTCATCCAAGGCAATGGTGCTGCTGGGCCTGGATGACTGAGCCGAACCAGAGAAGAACGGGAGACAACACCAAGGTGGCGAAACTGAGCTAAACAAGGAAATGAAAGGAGCACGACGATGGCAAAATTTCAACTCTTGCCTGAGATAAAGTCAGGAGGGACCATAATCCAGCTTTATAAATGTGAGCACTGATGGTCTGCAAACAAACATTTCCTACTATGAAATCCACGAGCATTGATTCAGCATCTACCAGGCTGGCCCACAGAAGCATTTAATAGAAAGAATAAAGCATGTTCTCCCAACTAAAAGGCCTTAGCTTGTGTTACGTTTTGTTTCTAACACTATTCATGAGTTTCCTGTCGGCTGCAGGAACTCAAAAAGAAGTGAGTTTAAAGAAGCCAAACCAGGGAAAATAAATTGAGGACAACGACAGTGAGCCCTGAACTCAGCTTCAGGGCACAAGGGAAAGTGAAAGGGCCTTGTAAGGCAATTGGGGTCTCAAGCTGCATTTTTCCTGAATTCTGAACTTCTCAAGGCTGTCCCTCCCCTGCCGCTTCAGGAAAAAAAAAAAAAAACCGTAAAAACTGTAAGTATGTGTTCACTTCCGCATCCTTGGCTATTCCCAAAAGCCGCCCAATTCCTGGAAAATAGCCTTTGTTTCTATTCCACAAGAGCCAATATGTACCAAGCCAAAGAGTAGAAAGAGCTGGGCCTGGCCCTGGGGAGACAAAGGTGACCCCAAGGGGTCCTCAGCCCTTCCAGAGGCCTAGTGAACCCAGGGTGAGAAGAGAACTAATCCAGGGATGTCTACAAGGACCAGCAATGCAATAAGGAAAGTGGGGCAAACTCTGCGTTTATCAGGGAAAGGAATTGTAGCTCGTCATTGAGGAATGCATAGGACGAGCATTCCTCAATGGAAAGGGGCAGAGGCATTTTAAGAAATAGGGATGGCTGCGTGCAGTGGCTCATGTTTGTAATCCCAGCACTTTGGGAGGCCAAGGTGGGTGGACCACCTGAGGTCAGGAGTTCGAGACCAGCCTGGCCAACCTGGCAAAACCCTGTCTCTACTAAAAATATAAAAACTAGCCGGGGGTAGTGGCGTGCACCTGTAATCCCAGCTACTCGGGAGGCTGAGGCAGGAGAATCACTTGAACCTGAGAGACGGAGGTTGCAGTGAGCCGAGATCATACCACTGCACTCCAGCCTGGGCAACAGAGTAAGACTCCTTCTTAAAGAAAAGAAAAGAAAAAGAAAAAGGGATGAGATGCTCAGAAAACTTGAGCCCTGAAAGTACATGTGTGTCTGGGAAACCAGCCAGTGTCTCTGGGTATCAGGGGAACATGGAGCATGGAGGTGGGTGGGGGTGGGCCTCAAAGGGGAGAAGGTGGGCTCTGAGGCCAGAACTGTGGACTGGGGATGACGCAGATGAAGAGGGCTTCATCCTTCTGCTCAGGAGTTGGTGCCTTATTCTGCAGGGCCATGCAAGGCTGTTCTTTAAGCAGACTAGAGAGAATAATCCTGAAGCTGTGGGGAGGACGGATGGGAGAGGACTGGCAGTGGAGGCAGGAAGGCCAGTTAGATAGACTCATTAGTGCATATGGAATGATGAGGGTGTGA